TAGAGAGATACTTCAGAAGAACATGAGCCTGCAAAGCTCTCCTCTATTCCAATGTAATGAGTTGCAGAAGGTCTGTGGGTTTGAATACATTATTCGTATATGCTTAGTTGAAACGCCACCTCTGCTCCGTGCGTCCTGTGGGATCCTGTCATAGCACATCATCATCAGGCTCATATTGACTAGACACCAAAACAGACAGAAAAGGGGAGGGATTACCTACCTGAATCTGTAAAATAAGAAACTCTTGTTTTTGTTGCAAACACATTTTCAGTTGCAAAACATTTTGCTACTATGTGCACTAATGATTAGGACCCAGGCAGTCTTCATGGGTGTGTGGAGCGACTCTCCAATAGGATGAGGGAGGTTGGAGGCTATAGCGGGCAGGGGACACATTGGTTAATGAATAGCAGCCAGGCAGTCTTCATGGGTGTGTGTAGCCACTCTCCAATAGGATGAGGGAGGTTGGAGGCTACAGACAATGATTTATCAGTGACCCAAGCCCTGGTCAGATAATCCCTACCATTGAGTCGCAGAGTTGTCGTAGTGCTGCTGCAAATGTCCGTTCTCCCAGGGGTGTTGTCAGTCATAATGTAAGTAACCTAATTTGTGTTTCTCTAACTCCCCTGAATGCCTTTGTCAATCCGACAGCTATTGTCAGCAGTAACCATGCGCCTATGAACCTTAGTTATACTGTTAGCACTGAGACGGTTTGCCCTAGTAGGAGTATTGTGAGTCATTGGCTGTTAATTATTATTGAAGTAAACTTCTAATGATGTGATCCAAGTGAGGCTCTGTTAGTAGAGCATGGCGCTTGCAACGCCAGGTTTGTGGGTTCGATTCCCATGGGGGACCAGTACAAAAAAGTATGAAAAATGTATGCACTCTACTGTAAGTCGCTCTGGATAAGAGCATCTGCTAAATGACTCAAATGTAAATGAAGTCCACCGTGTGCAGTTCACCCTGAACTATCAGCTCAAATATATACTGAACTGAAATATAAACACAACATGTAAAGTGTTGGTTTCATGAGCTGAAATAAAAGATCCCAGAAACTTTCCAAACGCACAAAAAGCTTATTTCTCTCAAATGTTGTGCACAAATTTGTTTACATCCCTGTTAGTGAGCCTTTCTCCTTTGCCAATATAATCCATCCACCTGACAGGTGTGGCATATCAAGAAGCTGATTAAACAGCATAATCATTACACAGGTGCACCTTGGGCTGGGGACAATAAAAGGTCACTCTAAAATGTGCAGTTTTGTCACACAACACAATGCCACAGATGTCTAAAATTTTGATGGAGCATGCAATTGGCATGCTGACTGCAGGAATGTCCACCAGAGCTGTTGCCAGAAAATTGAATGTTCATTTCTCTACCATAAGCCGCCTCCAACGTCGTTTCTGAGAATTTGGCAGTACATCCAACCAGCCTTACAACCGCAGACCACGTGTAACCACGCCAGCCCAGGACCTCCATTTCTGGCTTCTTCACCTGCGGCGTCATGTATACTCCCCCTCTGGCCTCTAGGTCACCAGGCTGCTCTTTATTACGCACACCTGTAACCATTGTTACATCAGACTCACCTGGACTCCATCACCTTCTTGATTACCTCCCCTATATATGTCACTCCCTTTGGTTCCTTCCCTCAGCATTATTGATTCTGTTACTCTGTTCCTGTCTGGATGCTACTCTTGTTTTGTGCCATGTTTTATTTATCATTAAATGCACTCCCTTTACTTGCTTCCCGACTCCCAGCGTACATTTGTACAGAAGAACACCTCACCGAAGGGAAACATCAGGGACATTTTTTTTATTTTTTTTTGCCGACGTCGGGTCCAGGTGCCACTGCTTAAACAACCGGGGATGCCTCAGCTGGCTCGTCAGGCTTCCATGCCTCAGCTGGCTCGACAGGTTCTCAAGCCTCGTTTGGCTCGGCAGGCTCAGATGCCTCAGCCGGCTCGTCAGGCTCCCATGCCTCAGCTGGGCCGTCAGGCTCCCGCGCCTCAGCCGGCTCGACAGGTTCTCGCGCCTCAGCCGGCTGGACAGGTTCCCGCGCCTCAGCCGGCTCGACAGGTTCCCGCGCCTCAGCCGGCTCGACAGGCTCCCGCGCCTCAGCCGGCTCGACAGGTTCTCGCGCCTCAGCCGGCTGGACAGGTTCCCGCGCCTCAGCCGGCTGGACAGGTTCCCGCGCCTCAGCCGGTTCGACAGGTTCCCGCGCCTCAGCCGGCTCGACAGGTTCCCGCGCCTCAGCCGGCTCGACAGGTTTCCGCGCATCAGCAGAGGTGACCGGTCCGCTCCTGATCCCCGGGATCGTCCCTTTGCGGCTGGAGCCGCGCGTCAGGGAGGGGTTACTGTTACGTATACTCCCCCTCTGGCCTCTAGGTCACCAGGCTGCTCTTTATTACGCACACCTGTCACCATCGTTACGCGCACCAGCGCCTCATCAGACTCACCTGGACTCCATCACCTTCCTGATTACCTCCCCTATATATGTCATTCCCTTTGGTTCCTTCCCTAGGCGTTACTGATTCTGTTACTCTGTTCTTGTCTGTACGCTACTCTTGTTTTGTTCCATGTTTATGTTTTATTTATCATTAAATGCACTCCCTCTACTTGCTTCCCGACTCCCAGTATACATTGTTACATGCGGGATCATCTGAGACCAACCTCCCGGACAGCTGATGAAACTGTGGGTTTGCAAAACCAAAGAATCTCTGAACAAACTGTCAGAAACCGTCTCAGGGAAGCTCATATGTGTGCTCGTCGTCGTCACCACGGTCTTGACCTGACTGCAGTTCGGCGTCGTAACCGACTTCAGTGGGAAAATGCTCACCTTCGATGGCCAATGTCATGCTGGAGAAGTGTGCTCTTCACGGATGAATCCCAGTTTCAACTGTACCAGGCAGATGGCAGACAGCGTGTATGGTGTTGTGTGGGCGAGCAGTTTGTTGACGTCAACGTTGTGAACAGAGTTCCTCATGGTGGCGGTGGGGTTATGGTATGGGTAGGCATAAGCTACGGACAACGAACTCAATTGCATTTTATCGATGGCAATTTGAATGCACAGAGATACCATGAGGAGATCCTGAGGCCCATTGTTGTGCCATTCATCCGCCGCCATCACCTCATGTTGCAGCATGATAATGCACAGCCCCATGCCGCAAGGATCTGTACACAATTCCTGGAAGCTGAAAATGTCCCAGTTCTTCCATGGCCTGCAAACTCACCAGACATGTCACCCATTGAGCATGTTTGGGATGCTCTGGTTCGACGTGTATGACAACATGTTCCAGTTCCCGCCAATATCCAGCAACTTTTCACAGCCATTGAAGAGGAGTGGGACAACATTCCACAGGCCACATTCAATAGCCTGATCAACTATATGCGAAGGAGATGTGTTGCGCTGCATGAGGCAAATGATGCTCACACCAGATACTGACTGGTTTTCTGATCCACGCCCCTACTTTTTTTTTTTTAAGGTATCTGTGACCAACAGATGCATATCTGTATTCCCAGTCATGTGACATCCATAGATTAGGGCCTTATGAATGTATTTTAATTGCCTGATTACCTGAACTGTAACTCAGTAAAATCTTTGAAATTGTTGCATGTTGCGTTTATATTTTTGTTCAGTGTAAATATTGCTGTCATGCCTACTTTTGATAAGCCTCCCAATAAAGCAATAAAAACAATGAAACATCCAAGAAAACCACTAAAAATAGGCCACATTAACATATGTAACCTAAGAAACAAAGTTAATGAAATCGATAACTTGCTAGTAACAGAACATTCATACATTCATCTCTGAAACTCACTTAGATCATTCCTTTGATGATACAGTGGTAGCAATATATGGTTATAACATCTACAGAAGAGACAGGAATGCCAATGGGGGAGGTGTTGCTGTTTATATTCAGAGTCATATTCCTGTAAAGCTGGGGATCCATAATAAATACAAATACTGTACATTGGTTTTGGGCCAGATTCTCCACCCTTTTCTTAAAGTTATGTTCAATTATGTTTAATCACACACTCATTCCCTCTCAGCAGTTACAGCTTCTCTACAGTAGAGGGAGGGGGTTTTGTCCTACCCTGTTGTTACATTTACATTTACATTTTAGTCATTTAGCAGACGCTCTTATCCAGAGCGACTTACAGTTAGTGAGTGCATACATTATTTTTTTCATACTGGCCCCCCATGGGAATCGAACCCACAACCCTGGCATTGCAAACGCCATCCCTGCCGGCCAAACCCTCCCTTACCTTGGACGACACTGGGCCAATTGTGCGCCGCCCCATGTCTTGTTAATTTGTTTCTGGAGTTTCAGAGAAACTGTGAATGTGAATGGGAATCAATTGTTTGTCCCCAAAAAGTCCTTACAAGTATAGTAAGACATAGCTGTATGTGTGTGTGTGTGTATGTGTGTGTGTGTGTGTGTGTGTGTGTGTGTGTGTGTGACATTTTATGGAGAAAAAAAACATTAAAGTTTGCACTACTACACACACCATAATGCCTTGAATTCTGCTCATCTTTACCTTTACTGTTGCTGCATGCATGCTCTCTTCTCACTCCCACTCGTGATGTTGTCGCTTGGCAACGCATATTCCAAGTGATGTGCAAAAAACAACTTGCTGCAGTTGCTAGCTGCAGAGGAGATTGAGTTTTTTTGAGGGTCAGTGAAGTTAGCTAGGTAAACCTCTGGGTTAGTTGAACAGACCTGTTGCGCTCACAGCTCTTGCTTGGTCGTTCCAAAGTCCGGCAGATGGCGCTGCTATAAAGAGAAGGGGGCAGTGGCTCTTTCATCAAGAATCGAAGAAGGAGTGGGAGCCGGAAAAAAAAAAAAGAAAGGAGGCCGACCCGAACCGATACAAAACATAACGCACACAGATAGCTGTAGCGGGTCCATCAATGGACGTAAAATAAACAGATAGCGAGCGAATACGCTTGTTCACCGAATTTAATCCCGTTGAGAGCAGGTCATGCTGTTCTCGCAAAGGTAATGAGCCGTAAAGCCCTTGGGTTTCGGCTTAGCAGCGCCCACAAACTGCAGCGAGACTGGAATGATTGGAAGCCCAGGTTGGTATCGCGCCACCGGTGAGAGAGTCTAAAATAGAACGGGGATTCGCTGGGCCTAACAGCAGCTTCTTTATTTAGCTAGCTAGTTAGCTAGTCAGCCACTTTGGTTCCCACACCTGAGGGAAATGGCTTGATAACAGTAGCTAGCCAGTAAGCAAGCTAACGCTCAAGCTTGATCACGTTATCCAAACTAGCTAGCTACGCTAACAAGGATAACCAACACTTTGCGCATTTATTCTGACTCAAAACACAACCTGCCGCATTTCATTGCTATGCTTTCCTCGTGTTTAGGTAGACATGGCTAGCTAGTTAACCTAATATTATTAGTGGTCAGAGAAGCCAATGCTTGGCAGCTATTTCGGTAACATTGGAAGTGGTGTTAGCTAGTTATTGCTAGTTATTACTATTATTAGCCAATATTCGTTGTCACTGAGATGACATGTTACCTTCACTTGGTAGCCAGCTAGTTAGTTGGCTAACTGACGTTAGTTAGCTCAAAGCGCAAATCTAGCCAGCTAACTATGGCTAGTGTTCGTTAGCTAGCTAGGTTCTAACTTTCTTCACCTTTGTCCCCAGAGTGACTGGGCTTGTTAGATAGCTAGCTACCAATCGTTGGGTGGGGGTGGTTGTGCTTTGATAACGCGGTATCCGGATCAGTAAACTGATTTGACATCAAATGGTGTGCTAACGTATAGTGTGGCAACTTTGGCTTTCAAGCTGGCTAACTAGCTACCTGGCTACGGAACGATGAGCCATCGGTGGGCAACGTTTGTCTTTCCTGCTGTCTTGTTACGTTATCTGGTCAACAATGATTAGCTAGATGACTTTAGCTTGATAGTTCATATTGGCTACCTAGCTATCGCTCAAAAATAACTAACCAGAAGACGGCTAACTAGCTACTATGTTTTAACACTTGCTAACTGATTACTATCCTGCTATCTTTCCTAGTTGGCGCGGTACCACCCTTTGCCAGCAAACGAAAGTGATTTAGCAATGCTGTCAGCGGATTGAATTGCACAGGGACATCAATAAAGTACATTATGCAAGCTCATCAGTTCTTGATTAAAGAAAGGGAGGTGTTTTTAGAACATTCCTTCAGTTGAGACCTGCATTTGACGTTTCTGTTCAGACAAATGCTCATAGTCTTGTGGAAAACTATTCAACAGTGCTGTACATTTAGCTAGAATAATTTCTCCATCCATGTATCCAGTTGTTTAATCCTAGACTTGTAAACCAGATTGGGGTGAGATTGTCAAACTGTAGGGAGTGTGTCCATATAAGTTATGATGATGAACCACTATCTATCAAGTACAAGTTGCCCTGGTGGATTTCACTGACTGTGTTTGTGTGTCCTGCACCCCTGTGTGTCCGTCCCTCTGTCCGCCTGCTTCAGAGGCGACAGTGTGTCAGCAGCTAGCCAGGACGGTGTGAAGCGCATCGCCACCAGAGACCTGGGTCCAGCTGTATACGACCCAACAGCAGTGGGAGTAGCAACCTCGGACCAGCCTGTCTCCCCACCTCTCCTACACAATGATGCCTTCCCAGCAGACACTCTGGACGAAGGGGGTGGGTGTTACTGTCTACTGTCTGCAGCATGTTGGTGTGTGTGGGCTGGGTGGGTGCTACTGCCTGTCTGCAGCATGTTGGGGGGGCAGGGGGTGGGTGCTACTGCCTGTCTGCAGCATGTTGGGGGGGCTGGGGGCCACTGCCTGTCTGCAGCATGTTGGTGATACTGTATAGTGATTTAAGTGCGCTATGACTGTAACGCCCCTTGTGGGTTTCACTGTAGGCAGGCCTGCTAACCATTGCTCCAGTAAGAGTAAAAGGGGATTCGTAACAGGCCTGCCTACCTAGGCAGGGGTGCTGTGTATTATAGTAGCCTGGTTCTGGATCTGTTTGTGCTGTCTTGACAAAGACCATAGGAGCTAGCTGGCAAGACGGCACAAACAGATCTGAGACCAGGCTTGGGTTATTATGGGGTCAGTGGGTTATTATGGGGTCAGGTTAGCAGTACATGAGACCAGGCTTGGGTTATTATGGGGTCAGGTTAGCAGTACATTTTTTTTAATTTTTTGTATTTTTTTATTTAGCAGACGCTCTTATCCAGAGCGACTTACAGGAGCAATTAGGGTTAAGTGCCTTGCTCAAGGGCACATCGACAGATTTTTCACCTAATCGGCTCGGGGATTAGAACCAGCGACCTTTCGGTTACTGGCACAACGCTCTTAACCACTAAGCTACCTGCCGCCGGGTTATTATGGGGTCAGGTTAGCAGTACATGAGACCAGGCTTGGGTTATTATGGGGTCAGGTTAGCAGTACATGAGACCAGGCTTGGGTTATTATGGGGTCAGGTTAGCAGTACATGAGACCAGGCTTGGGTTATTATGGGGTCAGGTTAGCAGTACATGAGACCAGGCTTGGGTTATTATGGGGTCAGGTTAGCAGTAAATGCTGACAGCGGTTGTCTGACATGGCACCCTATTCCCTATATAGTGCACTACTTTAAACCAGAGTCCAATGGTAACCTATCCCCTATTTAGTGCACTACTTTAAACCAGAGTCCAATGGTAACCTATCCCCTATTTAGTGCACTACTTTAGACCAGAGTCCAATGGTAACCTATTCCCTATATAGTGCACTACTTTTGACCAGAGTCCTATTTGTATTACTGTATCCATTGTTGTGGTCACGTTGTCCAGAGGTGAACCTGTAGTCAGCATGTCATTGGACTGTAGACACCATGTGTGTCCTGTGTAAATAACTAATAAACTAGTATTAATGTACTATATAATGAATAAAGGTGCCTTTTGGACACATCCAGCTTCTCTCCCTCCTTCCTTCCTGGGTCCTCAGACTCATGTTGGCTTAATGTTTCTGTTGAAGAGAAAGAAGAGCACTCTCGTCTCGGTGCGTATCTGTCCGGGGCATCTGGAAGGAAAGCACTGCGCGTCCCCGGGTTCCCCACAGATATCTGCCCTCATGGTAGAGAAGTTTGCGTCTCAAATGGCACCCTATTCCCTATATAGTGCACTACTTTTGACCAGGGCCCAATGGCAACCTATTTCCTCTATACTACTACTTTACTACAAGGGCTCATAGGGCTCTGGTTAAAAAATAGTGCACTATATAGGGAATAGGGTGCCATTAGGGACGTATACAAGGTGTTGGCCACCTACGCTGCCCTGTAGCCTAAGTAATTTTAGTTACGGTGATTGGTGATGTCACACACCGGTGCTTGGCGTTGTACTTAATCATGTGCTGTGCGCGCTAGCAGCTGGTATTGTAATAATGATGCGTCCGCTTCCAGAGACTAGCTGTGCTTGGTTACGTTTTATGTTCAGACCCTTGGTTTCGGTGTACTCCAGCACCAGTGTAGTGGACGCCATGGCATGCCTTAGCATAGCCCTTGATCATGACTCTCAGTTCCATTACGTTACACATGAGTCATTGGACAAAGGCGTCTTTTGTATGGGGGAGTTTTGGTAAGATCCCCGACGCTCAGTCCAAAAATGAACATGCATCACTTGCGGTACGGTTTTTGAAGCGTAAGGACCTTATCTTAAAAAAAATTATAAAAAAAAATCATGCATACCATGATAGGGTTAGTGTTCCCACACGGCCATATCGCCATGTTACAACGCTTGTTTACGGAAAACTGATGGTAGACAGAGCTTGACCACCTGTGCTAATTAGCCATCTACCGCGCTCCTAACACCTGTGTGTAATCTAACTGGGGAAGTGTAGTTTGGTCAGATAGCTGTATGGATAACCATAGCTGTATAGATCTGTGCAAAACTGCTGATGAAAGATGAGGGCCATATGTTTAAAAAGCCGTATTGCAAGTGATGGCTGTTGACCTTTCTGAACGGTTGGGATTGTATGTAAAAAAACAAAAAAAAACAATGTAAATGTAGTTCACTTGAGCCAGTCATGGCATGGGCCCTGTATCCACCAAGCAAATCAAATGGATTTGCCACATGCTTCGTAAACAACAGGTGTAGACTAACAGTGAAATGCTTACTTACGGGCCATTCCCAACAATGCAGAGAGTAAAATAATATAAAAATAATAACACAAGGAATAAATATACAATGAGTAACGATAACTTGGCTATATACACTGGGTACCAGTACTGAGTCCATGTGCAGGGGTACGAGGTAATGGAGGTAGATATGTACATATAGGTAGGGGTAAAGTGACTAGGCAACAGGATATATATTAAACAGTAACAGCAGCATATGTGATGAGTCAAAATAGTTAGTACAAAAAGGATCAATGCAGATAGTCCGGGTAGCTATTTGTTAACTATTTAGCAGTCTTATGGCTTGGGGGAAGAAGCTGTTCAGGGTCCTGTTGGTTCCAGACTTGGTGCATCGGTACAAGCTTGCCGTGCAGTAGCAGAGAGAACAGTTTATGTCTTGGGTGGCTGGAGTCTTTGACAATTGTTTGCATCTCAGAGTAGGCGTGCTGATCTAGCATCTGTCCATATAATCATATTCATTATGATCTAAAAGGAAAAACTGATCCTAGATCAGCACTGCTACTCTGAGGCGCTTTGTGGATATGGGCCCTGGTCAAAAGTAGTTCAAAAGAGGGTGCCATCTCTGGCGCAGCCAGCGTTATCGTAGTGACAGGAACTGTTCCTTCTGAGACTGCTGTGGTGGAATGACCACCTCTTCCATTGTGTTTTGACTGTCATCCATGGGCTCATACAGCAGTAATGGTGGTGTTCATTTCTCTGTGCTTTGTTGGCTGTATAACCAGAACACTCTCTGGTGGAACTAGCACTGTATGCTTTCTGGTGGAAGACTAACGCTTTCTCTCCCCTCTCTCTCCACCTCTCTCCCTCTGTCTTTCCAACACACACACACACTCTCTCCCCTTTCTCGCCCCCCCCCCCCCCCCCCCAGGAGGATATGAAGCTGCAGGAGGGTTCAGTGATACTTTTGGTTGGAAGTCGTTGGGGCAAGAGTTGAGGATCAACGATGCGACCGCCGATTTGACCACTTTTCAGCAGCATGGAAACCGTGCTTTAGCTTCTAAGGACATGAGGAAATCCCACGGTGAGTATGTAGCCTACGTCAGGGGTTATTAAACCTCTCCTCTGCGGTTATTAAACCCCTCCTCAGGAACCCCCAGACTTAACACTGCTGATTCACCTAGTCAAGGGCTTGATGATTAGTTGACCAGTTGAATCAGGTGCTAGCTGTGGAATAGATATAATCCATGGATTGGCTGGGGGCTCTGAGGAGAGGTTTGGAAACCACTGGCCTACGTGACACCCGTACAGGCGTCGATCTACTCAGTTTGCCTAGATATAATGGCAAAATTGCTGAATGCCATTTATAATCACCATTTCATCTCTCTCTCTCCACAGACAGAGGGATGTCTCACTCTGATGAGTCTCGCCTGTCCAACCTCCTGCGCCGTGTGTCCCGTGAGGAGGACAGGGACCGCCGGCTGACCTCCGTCAGACAGCTCCGGGAGTTCATCACTCACTCTGACAACAAAGTGGTGAGGTCATCAATCATATCAGTCTATCTGGGTAGTTCATCACTCACTCTGACAACAACAGTGGTGAGGTGATCAGTCAGTCAATTGATCCCAGCAACCCAGGGAGGTCTTAACTCCCTAGCTTAGAGATTCTCCCTAGGATAGGATAGCGTTGGTCAGTGGTCAGGGCCTCTGGTCTAGAGGGATATTAGTGGCTGTGTCCCAAATGGTACCCTGTTCCCTACATAGTGCACAATCTGTCGATGTGCCCTTGAGCAAGGCACTTAACCCTAATTGCTCCTGTAAGTCGCTCTGGATAAGAGCGTCTGCTAAATGACTAAAATGTAAATAGTGCACTACTATAGGCCCTGGTCAACAGTAGTGCACTATAAAGGGAATAGGGTGCCTTTTGGGACACAGCCACTGTGTCGCTCTCTCTGGCTAAGCTCTGCATTGTTGTCTCTTATGACAGGCCTTAGATAACCAGGGCTGTTTTTAGAATGGAGGGGTTATACAGTGGGGGAAAAAAGTATTTAGTCAGCCACCAATTGTGCAAGTTCTCCCACTTAAAAAGATGAGAGAGGCCTGTAATTTTCATCATAGGTACACGTCAACTATGACAGACAAATTGAGGGAAAAAAAATCCAGAAAATCACATTGTAGGATTTTTATGAATTTATTTGCAAATTATGGTGGAAAATAAGTATTTGGTCACCTACAAACAAGCAAGATTTCTGGCTCTCACAGACCTGTAACTTCTTCTTTAAGAGGCTCATCACACTCCAAACTCCACTATGGCCAAGACCAACGAGCTGTCAAAGGACACAGAAACAAAATTGTAGACCTGCACCAGGCTGGGAAGACTGAATCTGCAATAGGTAAGCAGCTTGGTTTGAAGAAATCAACTGTGGGAGCAATTATTAGGAAATGGAAGACATACAAGACCACTGATAATCTCCCTCGATCTGGGGCTCCACGCAAGATCTCACCCCGTGGGGTCAAAATGATCACAAGAACGGTGAGCAAAAATCCCAGAACCACACAGGGGGACCTAGTGAATGACCTGCAGAGAGCTGGGACCAAAGTAACAAAGCCTACCATCAGTAACACACTACGCCGCCAGGGACTCAAATCCTGCAGTGCCAGACGTGTCCCCCTGCTTAAGCCAGTACATGTCCAGGCCCGTCTGAAGTTTGCTAGAGTGCATTTGGATGATCCAGAAGAGGATTGGGAGAATGTCATATGGTCAGATGAAACCAAAATATAACTTTTTGGTAAAAACTCAACTCGTCGTGTTTGGAGGACAAAGAATGCTGAGTTGCATCCAAAGAACACCATACCTACTGTGAAGCATGGGGGTGGAAACATCATGCTTTGGGGCTGTTTTTCTGCAAAGGGACCAGGACGACTGATCCGTGTAAAGGAAAGAATGAATGGGGCCATGTATCGTGAAATTTTGAGTGAAAACCTCCTTCCATCAGCAAGGGCATTGAAGATGAAACGTGGCTGGGTCTTTCAGCATGACAATGATCCCAAACACACCGCCCGGGCAACGAAGGAGTGGCTTCGTAAGAAGCATTTCAAGGTCCTGGAGTGGCCTAGCCAGTCTCCAGATCTCAACCCCATAGAAAATCTTTGGAGGGAGTTGAAAGTCTGTGTTGCCCAGCGACAGCCCCAAAACATCACTGCTCTAGAGGAGATCTGCATGGAGGAATGGGCCAAAATACCAGCAACAGTGTGTGAAAACCTTGTGAAGACTTACAGAAAACGTTTGACCTGTGTCATTGCCAACAAAGGGTATATAACAAAGTATTGAGAAACTTTTGTTATTGACCAAATACTTATTTTCCACCATAATTTGCAAATAAATTCATAAAAAATCCTACAATGTGATTTTCTGGGAAAAAAAATCTCATTTTGTCTGTCATAGTTGACGTGTACCTATGATGAAAATTACAGGCCTCTCATCTTTTTAAGTGGGAGAACTTGCACAATTGGTGGCTGACTAAATACTTTTTTCCCCCACTGTATTTACCAGGGCTGTTTTTAGACTGGATGGGTTATATTTACCAGGGCTGTTTCTAGACTGGATGGGTTATATTTACCAGGGCTGTTTTTAGACTGGATGGGTTATATTTACCAGGTGGTGCATCTCCACTGTAGAACTGTGTTCTCTCCCTGTTTGACACTGATTGTGTTCCTCTCCCTCCCCCTCTCGCTCCTTACCTCTCTATCTCTCTCTCCTTACCTCGCGCTCTCTCCTTACCTCTCGCGCTCTCCCTCTCCTTACCTCTCTCGCGCTCTCTCCCTACCTCTCTCGCGTTCTCTCCATACCTCTCGGGCTCTCTCTCTCCTTACCTCTCGCGCTCTCTCTCTCTCCTTACCTCTCGCGCTCTCTCTCCTTACCTCTCGCGCTCTCTCTCCTTACCTCTCTCGCGCTCGCTCTCTCCTTACCTCTCTCGCGCTCGCTCTCTCCTTATCTCTCGCGCTCGCTCTCTCCTTACCTCTCGCGCTCGCTCTCTCCTTACCTCTCGCGCTCTCTCTCTCCTTACCTCTCGCGCTCTCTCTCTCTCTCTCTCTCTCTCTCTCCTCTCGCGCTCCTTACCTCTCGCGCTCTCTCTCTCTCTCCTTACCTCTCGCGCTCTCTCTCTCCTTACCTCTCCCACCAGGCCCTGGTGAAACAGTTGGATACAATCCTCAGTACCCTGAATGATATTTTGAATGAAAGGTAAGAGGAAGCTCCCAATCAGAGCCCAATAGTCTCCATCTGGAATGGCTCCCTGTTCCCTATAGAGTATGTATATAGATTTAGACCATTTAGATGTTTCAAGATCCTTTTGGCTGTTAAGCTAGTCAGGTTGTGTGTTGGTTTGTACTGACTCTCCTCTCTCCTCTGTAGCAGTAAGCTGCTGTCGGAGCTGCGTCAGGAGGCAGCGGTGTGTCTGGGCCTGCTGTGCACTGCTCTGAGCTATGAAGCAGAGCGCATCTTCAAGTGGATGTTTGTCAAGTTCAGCTCCAGCACCCGGGACGAGGTCAAGCTGCTCTACCTGGTGGCAGCGTACCGAGCCCTGGAGGCAGCTGGAGAGAGGAAGGCCTTCTCACCTGTCATGAAGGTAAGAGGACAGGAGAGGAACCAGGACCCCATTCATAGTGTCTCACAGTAGGACTGCTGACTTAGGATCAGTTTGGCCTTTTAGATCATAATGAATAAGGCCCAGGGTAGTAAGGGAAAGTTAAGTTGAGAGAGTGGGTAACTGACTCTGTGGTGTCCATTTTGTGTCAGCTGGTCATGAGTAGCCTGCAGTCCATCTTGGAGAACCTGGACACGCCGGAGCTGCTGTGTCAGAGCGTCCGCTGCATCCTGCAGGTGGCCCGCTGCTACCCACACGTCTTCAGCACCAACTTCAGAGTGAGTGGCAACACACACACACACACTCTCTTGCGCCAACTTCAAATGTGAGCGTCTGCTGGTGTTTTCTTTCACTACCTCCATCTCCTACTGCCTGGCTCGCTCCCTCTTTCACTACCTCCATCTCCTACTGCCTGGCCCGCGCCCTCTTTCACTACCTCCATCTCCTACTGCCTGGCCCGCTCCCTCTTTCACTACCTCCATCTCCTACTGCCTGGCTCGCTCCCTCTTTCACTACCTCCATCTCCTACTGCCTGGCCCGCTCCCTCTTTCACTACCTCCTTCTCCTACTGCCTGGCCCGCGCCCTCTTTCACTACCTCCTTCTCCTACTGCCTGGCCCGCGCCCTCTTTCACTACCTCCTTCTCCTACTGCCTGGTCCGCTCCCTCTTTCACTACCTCCATCTCCTACTGCCTGGCCCGCTCCCTCTTTCACTACCTCCATCTCCTACTGCCTGGCTCACTCCTCTTTCTCCATCTCCTACTGCCTGGCCCGTCCCTCTTTCTCCCATCTCCTACTGCCTGGCTCGCTCCCTCTTTTTCCCATCTCCTACTGCCTGGCCCGCTCCCTCTTTCACTACCTCCATCTCCTACTGCTTGGCTCGCTCCCTCTTTTTCCCATCTCCTACTGCCTGGCCCGCTCCCTCTTTCACTACCTCCATCTCCTACTGCCTGGCCCGCTCCCTCTTTCACTACCTCCATCTCCTACTGCCTGGCTCACTCCCTCTTTCTCCCATCTCCTACTGCCTGGCCCGCTCCCTCTTTCTCCCTTCTCCTACTGCTTGGCTCGCTCCCTCTTTTTCCCATCTCCTACTGCCTGGCCCGCTCCCCTCTTTCACTACATCCATGCCTACTGCCTGGCCCGCTCCCTCTTTCACTACCTCCATTCCTACTGCCTGGCTCACTCCCTCTTTCTCCCATCTCCTACTGCCTGGCCCGCTCCCTCTTTCTCCCATCTCCTACTGCCTGGCCCGCTCCCTCTTTCACTACCTCCATGTCCTACTGCCTGGCCCGCTCCCTCTTTCACTACCTCCATTCCTACTGCCTGGCTCACTCCCTCTTTCTCCCATCTCCTACTGCCTGGCTCGCTCCCTCTTTTTCCCATCTCCTACTGCCTGGCCTGCTCCCTCTTTCACTACCTCCATCTCCTACTGCCTGGCTCACTCCCTCTTTCTCTCTCCTACTCTGTCAGTCTCTCTCTCTCTGTCTCTACTAGCTGGTCTTATAAATGTCCCCCAGAGTGTCTACAGTGAAGTATTTGTGTTGTCTTTTGACCGTGCCTGTTGTGTGTGACAGGATACGGTGGATATCTTGGTGGGCTGGCACATCGACCACACACAGAAACAGTCTCTGACTCAACAGGTCTCAGGTGAGTACACAATCAGGTTTTCCATCTACCTCTTAATATAGAACATAATCACAACTTGGTGGGGATGGAAAGATTGCTGCAGGTCTGTAGTTGACAGTGTATGGTTTACGCCAGGTGTGTCACGGGGGTGGTTTGAGTTAAACTCAATATACTTTGAATTGACTAAAACCAAATGGAAACTGTAGAAATGATAATGGACCTATATTCATACAGTTTGACTGTCCAGCTCGCTAAAAATCACTACACAGTCAAGGAGCATCAAATTCCAAAAACAAATTGACTGCAAGGAAATAAAAAATAATTCAGTGCGGCCCTCCGAACCTCTTTGAAGACCGAATGCGGCCCCCGGGGCAAAATGAGTTTGACACCCCTGGTTTACACAAGTCAAATGTATGCGTGTGAACTATCTGTGTGTGCAGGCTGGCTGCAGAGCCTGGAGCAGTTCTGGGTAGCAGACCTGACCTTCTCCACCACGCTGCTGGGGCAGTTTCTAGAGGACATGGAGGCCTACGCAGAGGTCAGTAACACCACTACACACACGCTCAGTGGCCAGTTTATTAGGTACACCCATCTAGTACCCCCCCCCCCCCCCCCAATTTGCCACCAGAACAGCCCGAATTCTTCGGGGCATGGAAACGTTGCTCAGTTGGTATCAAGGGACCTAACGTGCGCCAGGAAAACATTCCCCACAACATTACACCACCGCCACCAGCCTGTACCGTTGACACAAGGCAGGATGGGTCCATGGACTCATTCTGTTTAAGACAAATTCTGACTGCCATCAGCATGACGCAACAGGAACCGGGATTTGTCGGACCAGCTGTTTTTCCGCTCTTCAGTTGTCCAGTGTTGGTGATTGCGTGCCCACTGGAGCCGCTTCTTCTTGTTTTTAGCTGATAGGAGTGGAACCCGTTGTGGGCATCTGCTGCAATAGCACATCCGTGACAAGGGCCGACGAGTTTTGAGTTCTGAGGTGCCGTTCTGCACACCACTGTTCTACTGCGCCGTTATTTGCCTGTCTGTGGGCCGCCTGTCAGCTTGCACGATTCTTGCCATTCTTCTTCGACCTCTCTCATTAACAAGCTTTTTTCACACCATTCTCGGTAAACCCTAGACACTGTTGTGCGTGAAAGCCCAGGAGGTCGGATGTTTCTGAGATACTGGAACCAGTCCGCCTGGCACCGGTGATCATACCACGCTCAAAGTTGCTTAGGTCACTCGTTTTGCCCATTTATAACTTTCAATAGAACAGTAACTGAATGGCTCAATGCCTGTTTATATAGCAAGCCACGGCCATGCCACTCACTGTCTGTAGGCGCAAACCATTTTCGTGAACAGGGTGGTGTACCTAATAAACTGGCCACTGAGTGTACGCTACACTATTACATGGATACCTATGCAAAGGTAATGGTGTTCCCCAGACTATTACAGTAGAACCTCAGAGATACGAACTGACCAGTCAACCAAACTAGCAATTTAAGGCTACAGGCAAACGTACAGAGCCTTCAGAAAGTATTCATACCCCTTGACTTATTCCACATTTTGTTGTTACAGACTGAATTCAAAATTGATTACATAGATTTTTTTCTCACCCATCTACATACAATAATCCATAATGACATTGTTTTTGGAAATTTTAGCAAATGTATTGAAAATGAAATACAGAAATAACTAATTTACAAAGGTATTCACATCCCTGAGTCAATACTTTGTAGAAGCACCTTTGGCGGCGATTACAGCTTTGAGTCATCTGAATCAGTTTTGCAAATCTGGATTTGGGGATTTTCTCCTATTGTTCCTGGTAGATTTTCTCAAGCTCTGTTAAGTTAATGAGGAGTGGCGCTGAACAGCAATCTTCAAGTGTTTCCACAGATTTTCAATGGGATTCAAGTCTGGGCTTTGGCTGGGCCACTGACTTTCACATTCTTGTTCTGAAGCCATTCCAGCATTGCTTTGGCTGTATGCTTTGGGTCATTGTCCTGTTGGAATGTAAATCTTTGCCCCAGTCTGTTGTTTGCATCTGAAGTAGGTTCTCATCAAGGATTTGCCTGTGTTTGGCTTCGTTCAATGTGGTCCTCTGTAGCTCAATTGGTAGAGCATGGTGCTTGTAACGCCAGGGTAGTGGGTTCGATCCCCGGGACCACCCACACGTAAAAATTTATGCACACATGACTGTAAGTCACTTTGGATAAAAGCGTCTGCTAAATGGCATATTATTATTATTATTATTATTATTATTATTATTATTATTCCCTTACCAGTCTCCCAGTCCCTGCCGCTGAAAAGCTTCCCCATAGCATGATGCTGCCATCACCACGCTTCACGGTAGGGATGGTGTTAGACTGGTGATGAGCACCGCCTGGTTTTCTCCAGACATGGCGCTTTGCATTCAGGCCAAAGAGTTTTTGTCTCATCAGACCACATAATATTTTGCCTTTGCTCTGTCTTTCACGTGCCTTTGTGCAAACTCCAACCGTGCAGTCATGTGCATTTTTCACAGGAGTGTCTTCCGTTTGGCCACTCTCCCATAAAGCCCAGATTGAAGTGCTGTAGAGACTGTTGTCCTTCTGGCAGGTTCTCCCATCACAGCGATGGAACTCTGTAGTTCTGTCAGAATGCTCATTGGGTTCTTGGTCACCTCCCTGACCAAGGTCCTTCTTGCCCGGTTGCTCAGTTTGGTCGGATGGCCAGCTCTAGGCAGTCTGGGTAGTTCCATATTTTTTCAATTTCCCAATGATTGAGACCACTGTGCTCTTAGAAACTTTCAACACTCTAGAAATAGTTTTATACCCTTCCCCAGATATATGCCTCATCACAATCTCGGAGATCTACGGACAGTTCCTTGAACTTCATGGTATAGTTTCTGCTCTGACATGCACTGTCAACTGTGGGCCAACTGTGTGTTTTCTTTCGAAATCATGTCCAAACAATTGAATTTGGCCACAGGTGGACTCCAATCAAGTTGTAGTGACATCTCAAGGATGATCAAATGAAATTGGATGCACCTGAGCTCAATTTGGAGTGTCATAGCAAAGGGGTGTGAATACTTATGTAAATGAGATTTCTGTATTTCATTTTCAATACATTTGCAAACATAAAAAAAAACATGTTTTCACTTTCTCATTATGGGGTATTGTGTGTAGATGGGTGGGTGGCGGGGATATTTTAATCAATTTACAATTCAGGCTTTAACAAAATGTAGAAAAAACTGAGGTCTGAATACTTTCTGAAGACACTGTGTATCAAGTTGTGGAAAATGTTTATCACTGAGATCCTTTTGTATTACATTAAATATTAAATGCCATGAAGAAATGTATGGACTGTTCTGTCCCATGTTGTCTCCAGGACTTGGGTCACGTGGGTTCTGGAGAGGCGGTAGACGAGGACGTCCCTCCCCCCACGGTGTCTCTGCCCAAACTGGCCGCCCTGCTGAGGGTGTTCAGCACCGTGGTGCGCTGCATCGGACAGCGCTTCAACCCCATCAGAGGACCGCCCATCACACAGGCATACGTCTCTGATGTAAGGAGAGACATACACACACACAGGCATAGATCTCTGATGTAAGGAGAGACATACACACACACAGGCATAGATCTCTGATGTAAGGAGAGACATACACACACACAGGCATAGATCTCTGATGTAAGGAGAGACATACACACACACAGGCATAGATCTCTGATGTAAGGAGAGACATACACACACACAGGCATAGATCTCTGATGTAAGGAGAGACATACACACACACACACAGGCATAGATCTCTGATGTAAGGAAAGACGCACACACCCATCCGAGGCATTTTACTGATGTAAGGAGAGTGGGTGGGAGAGACACACAGACTCTGGTAATTAACAAGGCATATGTCACAGATATAATTTGTTCCCAACACAACCTTACCTCATCCCTCTCCTTCCTCCCTTTCCCCAGGTTCTGAATCGGGTGCTGGCGTGTGTGTCGACGGCCAAGCAGGTGTTGTTCTCTGAGCCGGTGTTGACGGCGGGGAACGAGTGTGTGTGTGTCCTGCTGGTGAGCTTGGAGCCGTCCGCACAGCTGACCGACGCTGTCATCACCTACGGCCTGGACCAGCTGGACGCCTGCCGGGCCTGTGGCCCAGAGTACAGCCTGGCCGTCCTCAGCCTCATCACATTGGTAAGGACCGGTTCTAAAACTGGTTTACATACAGGTTATAACTAGTTTATGCTAGTTAGAATTGGTTTAAACCAGTTTGGAAGAATGTTCCCTCAAACTGAGCAAATTTCAGGTCTTGTGAGCGGAAACTTGAATGTTGCGTCAATGTAGGCCAACATTTTGAGACTTTTTAAAAACATTATGCATTGCATTATCAATGGCTGCCCGAATGCAGAGAACTGGTTGGTCATTCAACGTTTTGCCTCTCTGCTTCTAATGGTCTCTTCTCTCTGTGTGGTAGATCGTGGACCAGATCAACACTAAGCTTCCAGCCTGGTTTGTGGAGAAGCTGCTGGCACCGACGTCACAGCTCCTGGAGCTACGCTTCAACAGGGACAGAGAGGTGTGTGTGTGTGTGTGTGTTAGGGATGTGACAAATGGAAACATTTTCTTAATGTTTAAATTGCTGTTTAAAAAAAAAAAGTCATTTTTCTGTTAAAACGATAAGAAAAATGCTTAAAATGTCATATGTATTCACAATGCAGAATATGGTCATATTGGGTACGACAGTCCTATTGGGTGGGTGCTAGGGGGCAATGAAGTTCCATCTACCACAGTCATAGGCTGAATCTCAAACCCCAACACTTGGCCACTAAGCCCTTTATCGAGTGGCCACTTGCTGTTGCGTTCGATAGTGATCACTTGAGTCCGCAAGTGTTTTGCCAAAAGGAGCGTTGAGACGACGCGCACTCAATGTTCCAACTCCTGCTTATCAATATTCTAAATCCATTCGCGACCTGTCTTGCACATGACTCAATTGCTATGAAACACAGGCACTGGGACAGACGCATACTCTGATAGACAGGGAAGAAGTTGTAAAAACAAAACGGCTGCTCTATTCCTGGTATATCGGTCGCCTGTGATTTCATCAGCTGGTTTATCTTGTTGTAGCCTGCCTGCTGCTAGCTAGCTTCACTGACAAACACAGGGATGGAATGTTAGCTAGCTAGCTATGGATGTTGGGCACTGCACTGATAAACAGCATGTAGCTCGTCACTTATTTAGGATAGTTTGACAGCTTGCTGATGAAGTTGTAGACATGTTCCCAGCAGGCGTACTTAAGCGTACTTAAGTACGTTTCCAAAGCACCAATCGCTACATTGTAACGTTGGGTCAGGTAAAAGCGCAGCAGCAGACTCCATTTTGTAAAAAAAAAAGTATACTATTTTAGGGATTTTTTTCTTAATTTACCAGTTTCTTTTTAAAGTTTAAATGTTCGCCCCCCTAGAGTGAGTGTGTGTGTGTGACCAGGTTTATAGAGGTGTACATTTGTGGGTGCTTGAAACCACCTAATTGAAATGGGAAGAGCGGTGTGTATGCCTCCGATTCAGATTGGGAGAATGTAACGTAAGGTGTGTTTCTGTTAGGGTTATGTGGAAGCTGTATCTGTTAGGGGGAAGTTGTCTCTCTGTTTCTGTTAGGGTTACGTGGAAGTTCTATCAGTTTCTGTTAGGGTTAGGTGGAGGTAGGGCTGTTGCGGTGACCGGTTACCGCCACACCGGCAGTCATGACCGCAGTAAAATACCACGTGACTGTTGAGTCACGGTAATCTCCTCTTATGTGCTTTGATAGTGCCCAACTTTCTAACTGCCATCAGGTCCTACTGGCCTCGTCCTCAGGTCTCTGTTGTCTCTCTAACCACTCTGACGTCAAGGCAAATGCAATGGAAATCACATCAAATGCTTATCAAAACAGTATCGTGCTTTTTAAAACTCACATCACTGTGATTGATCCATTTGAAGAAAGAAGTTCAACAGGTTGAAACTGAGTGGAAAACATGGTCGTTGTGGATGTTGCTTCAAAACCTAACACAGCTAAATGGATAGCGCTTTCTAAGGTGACGATTAATTCAAAACACATATGCATATTAGAGCTTATGCATGTGTTTCAATAGTCTAGTCGCATCGTGCAGCCCATATGTGTTTTGAATTCTAAGACATTCTAATGTTTGTATCATTCACAACTAAAGTTGCCAAATAACTCTAAATGTAGCGTATAGTACCTGTTTCAAGTGATCACTTTTACGCTCAACATAGCCACTTCATATGAGCACTCACTCTGGAATGTGAAAAATATCCTTTCTATATTATTCAGCCAAGTTCAGTTATATTCTTCTAACTATGAAATCATTATAATATAAAATAATGGCACGGGATTTATAAGCATATCTTGTCTGCTAAATGAACAAGCCTACGGCATGGAGCATAGCCAGGTAACATACAGTAGACCAACTCATATTCTGTTCTTCTGAAATAAATGTTCTTTAGACCCGCCTAAAATAAATAATGGATTTATTGTGATGGTTATTATTAAATTGATTTTATTAAACTTTTTTAAATATAGATTTTCCAAAGGTGCGCATCAGCGGCTTGTATGCAGCTGACATTTCATGACCGCCACAGCCTGAGGTGGAAGGTGTTTCTCTGTCTGTTAGGGTTAGGTGGAAGGTGTTTCTCTGTCTGTTAGGGTTAGGTGGAAGGTGTTTCTCTGTCTGTTAGGGTTAGGTGGAAGGTGTGTTTCTCTGTCTGAGGGTTAGGTGGAAGGTGTGTTTCTGTGTCTGAGGGTTAGGTGGAAGGTGTGTTTCTGTGTCTGAGGGTTAGGTGGAAGGTGTGTTTCTGTGTGTTTGCGGCTTTCTATAATCCTGTTAGCATGACAATTCTATTGAAAACAAAACCAATCAAAGGTTGAATGGAAACTGTTAAGACATGTTTTTACTGGGTGTGTCCGGCTGTCTCTCTGTGTCTGTATCCATGTGTCTTCACTGATCCCCTCTGCTCTCTATCTCTCTTTCTCTCCAGGTGATGTCAGCAGCCCTGGGTGTGTACCAGTCCGTTTTGAGCCTAAAGAACATTCCCATTCTGGAAGCAGCTTATAAACTGGTTCTGGGAGAGATGGCCTGTGCCCTGTCCAGTCTGCTGGCCCCCCTGGACCTCCCCCCAACCCCTGGTACCCCCTCCCCGACCCCAACAGCCTTTCCCGGCATCCAGCACCCTGTCTTCACCCCCCTCACCCTCACCCCTGAGAGGGCAGAGTTCACCCTCATCTTCAACCTGTCAGCCCTCACCACCATCGGCAACACCAAGAACTCACTCATAGGGGTATGTAGGGTTACGAAACACACACACACACACACACACACACACACACACACACACACACCACTGCAGCTCCGGCCAAAACACCAAGAACTTACTCATAGGGGTATGTAGGGTTACGAAACACACACACACACACACTGCAGCTCCGGCCAAACACCAAGAACTTACTCATAGGGTATGTAGGGTTACGAAACACACACACACACACACACACACACACACACACACACTGCAGCTCCGGCCAAAACACCAAGAACTTACTCATAGGGGTATGTAGGGTTACGAAACACACACACACACACACACACACACACACACACTGCAGCTCCGGCCAAAACACCAAGAACTCACTCATAGGGGTATGTTACCTAACACACCCACTGCACCACCATCAGCAACACCAAGTAACATGAACTGAACTGACCTTAAAATGTACCTCTGCTCTGCCCCTCTCGTCTCTCTCGCTCGCTCTCGCTCTGTCGCTCTCGCTCTGTCGCTCTCGCTCTGTCTCCCGCTCTGTCTCTCGCTCTGTCTCTGTAGATGTGGGCTCTGTCTCCGACGGTGTTTGCGTTGTTGAGTCAGAACCTGATGTTGGTCCACTCTGACCTGGCCGTCTACCACCCTGCTGTACAATATGCTGTGTTATATACCCTATACTCACACTGTACCAGGTAACTAACACGCACAACCACCCTGCTGTACAATACTGTACCAGGTAACTAACACACACTACCACCCTGCTGTACAATACACTGTTATATACCCTATACTCATACTGTACCAGGTAACTAACACGCACAACCACCCTGCTGTACAATACTGTACCAGGTAACTAACACGCACTACCACCCTGCTGTACAATACACTGTTATATACCCTATACTCATACTGTACCAGGTAACTAACACACACTACCACCCTGCTGTACAATACACTGTTATATACCCTATACTCATACTGTACCAGGTAACTAACACGCACAACCACCCTGCTGTACAATACACTGTTATATACCCTATACCATACTGTACAGGTAAACTAACACACCTACCACCCTGCTGTACAATACACTGTTTAATACCCCTATATCATACTGGTACGCAGGTAACTAACACACACTACCCCACCCTGCTTGTACAATAGCACTGGTTATAATACCCTATACTCACACTGTACGCAGGTAACTAACACCAACATACCAACCCTGCGTACCATACACTTTATATACCCTATACTCACACTGCACCAGGTAACTAACCCCACATACCACCCCTGCTGTAACAATACCTGTTATATACCCTATACCCATAACTGTACCAGAACTAACACAACACTACCACCCTCTGTGACAAACCGTTATATACTATATCACACTGCAACCAGTAACTAACACCAGCACACTACCCAACCTGCTGTACAATACACTTTTATCTAACCTATACTCACACTGTACCAGGTAACTAACACAACACTACCACCCTGCTATAGCATACAACTGTTATATACCCTATACTCATACTGTACCAGGTAACTAACACACACTACCACCCTGCTGTACAATACACTGTTATATACCCTATACTCATACTGTACCAGGTAACTAACACACACTACCACCCTGCTGTACAATACACTGTTATATACCCTATACTCACACTGCACCAGGTAACTAACACACACTACCACCCTGCTGGTACAATACACTGTTATATACCCTATACTCACACGGACCAGGTAACTAACCACACTACCACCCCTGCTGTACAATACACTGTTATATACCCTATACTCACACTGCACCAGGTAACTAACACACACTACCACCCTGCTGTACAATACACTGTTATATACCCTATACTCACACTGCACCAGGTAACTAACACACACTACCACCCTGCTGTACAATACACTGTTTATATACCCTATACTCACACTGCACCAGGTAACTAACACACACTACCACCCTGCTGTACAATACACTGTTATATACCCTATACTCACACTGCACCAGGTAACTAACACACACTACCACCCTGCTGTACAATACACTGTTATATACCCTATACTCACACTGCACCAGGTAACTAACACACACTACCACCCTGCTGTACAATACACTGTTTATTACCTATACTCACACTGGGATAACTACACACACTACCACCTGGTACAATTACTGTACCAGGTAACTAACACACACTACCACCCTGCTGTACAATACACTGTTATATACCCTATACTCACACTACTAGGTAACTAACACATGTTAATACAACTTTGATCCTTCCTTTTTTTAAACATAGTTCACCACATTCTAATTTGTATTTTCTTTCAATCCTCTCTCTCGTGTCTCTCTCACTGTCTCTCTCCCTCTCTCCCTCTCTCGCCGTCTCTCTCCCTCCCTCTGTTCTTCAGACATGATCACTTCATCTCGTCCAGCCTGTCCTCCTCCTCCCCCTCTCTCTTTGACGGCGCGGTCATCAGCACGGTAACCACGGCAACCAGGAAACACTTCAGCACTCTGTTGTCCCTTCTGGGGACCCTGCTGAGGAAGGAGCACCTCTACACTGAGGCCAGGTACACACACACACTATACATTACACACTATACATTACACACACACACTATACATTACACACACTATACATTACACACACACACACACACACACACACACACCACACTATACATTACACACACACACTATACATTACACACACACACACACACACACACACACTATACATTACACACACACACAGGTGTAGTTGAACGATAACCTAACCTAGTTTGTGTGTGTGTCTGCTACAAACAGGAAGCTGTTGTTGACGTGGTCTCTGGAGATGTGTCTGATGATGAAGAAGTCTGATACCTACACCCCTCTCTTCTCCCTGCCCTCCTTCCACAAGTTCTGCAAGGGTCTGCTCCACAACGGTAACTACTGTTTAACTATAGAAAGGGTCTGCTCCACAACGGTAAATACTGTTTAACTATAGAAAGGGTCTGCTCCACAACGGTAAATACTGTTTAATCTATAGAAAGGGTCTGCTCCACAACGGTAAATACTGTTTAACTATAGAAAGGGTCTGCTCCACAACGGTAAATACTGTTTAACTATAGAAAGGGTCTGCTCCACAACGGTAAATACTGTTTAACTATAGAAAGGGTCTGCTCCACAACGGTAAATACTGTTAACTATTAGAACGGTCTGCTGCCACAACGGTAAATACTGTTTAACTATAGAAAGGGTCTGCTCCACAACGGTAAATACTGTTTAACTATAGAAAGGTCTCCCACCACAACGGTAAATACTGTTTAACTATAGAAAGGTCTGCTCCACAACGGTAATACTGTTTAACTATAGAAAGGGTCTGCTCCACAACGGTAAATACTGTTTTAACTATAGAAAGGGTCTGCTCACAACGGTAAATACTGTTTAACTATAGAAAGGGTCTGCTCCACAACGGTAAATACTGTTTAACTATAGAAAGGGTCTGCTCCACAACAGTAAATACTGTTTAACTATAGAAAGGGTCTGCTCCACAACGGTAAATACTGTTTAACTATAGAAAGGGTTGCTAAATTCTGCTTGATTCTGGGAATCTTCCAAACAGGATTTTTGGGAAAACCGGTTTTAATTTTTCCTGATTCCTGCAGTGTGTGTGTGTTCTCTGTCGGTCTGCAGCCCTGAATGAGGACCCAGTAATCTGCCTCCAGACCTGCAACAGCCTACAAGTCCTCTCCTCCTCACTCAACACAGAGCTGCTGCAGAGGTAACACACACCTGCAACACATGCACACACCTCCACCTCAAAACAACCCCTTATACAGAAAAGCATAAACCCAAACGGGTGTGTGTGTGTAATGTTGTCTCTGTCCTGTGCCTCCCAGGTGTGTGGATGTGTGTCGTGTCCAGCTGGTGCACTCTGCGGTGAGGGTGAGGCAAGCGTACGGCAAGCTGCTGAGGACAATCCCTCTGGACGTGACGCTCAGGTCAGCACACAACACACCGAACACCCTCCTCTTTCCTCAGTGACTGACTGGGACTCCTCTAAGGCAGAGACTCTATCAGTAACCTTTATTAATGTCTGTGTCCCTACAGTGACCTTAATGTCTGTGTCCCTACAGTGACCTTAATGTCTGTGTCCCTACAGTAACCACAGCCACCCAGAGATAGAGGAGATCTCCTTGGTGGTCCGTCGCCACATGAACCACCCCCCCAGCAGCACCTTTCACCCTCAGGACTTCAGTGACCTCATCAGCTTCATTCTGTACGGCAGCCTGCATCGTGGAGGGTATGCTCCTTGGCTCTGTGTGTGTGTGTGTGTGGGGGGGGGGTTCGTTCTGCTGACCTGTGTGTCATCTGCTAACGTGGGTCCCGTGCGGCTCAGTTGGTAGAGCGTGGTGCTTGCAACGGCAGGGTTGTGGGTTGGGTTCGATTCCCACGGGTTACCGGTATGGGGGGGGGGGGGGGTATGAAAATGTATGCGGTCACTACTGTAAGTCACTCAGGATAAGAGCGTCTGCTAAATGACAATGTAAATGTGTAATCTGCTAACGTGTGTGTCTCTCCCTACAGTAAAGAGCCGTGGCTGGAGCGTCTGTACCACAGCTGTCAGCGTCTGGAGAAGCGCGAGGGTGGTGGTGGCTCATCAGGTGGTGAAGGGGGTGTGTGTGGCTCCGGCCCGGGTGTGAGTGTGTGTGTACCACGGGGTCTGCTGAAGACGGAGGCGGTGCTGTGGCAGTGGGCGGTGTGGGAGGCAGCTCAGTTCACCGTGTTATCTAAACTCCGCACGCCACTGGGACGGGCACAGGACACCTTCCAGACCATAGAGGGTAAGGGCTGTTACGCAGGCACCAAAACACACGTTCACTCACTAAAACTCACAAAAACACTCAGTCCAGGGTTTTCCCCATGATGTTTTTTAACATGGTGTTGCTGATAAGGTGGGGGAGGCCTGGAGTGGGGGGGGGGGTTCGTTCTGTAACTGAACCCCTGTAGCTGAACCCCTGTAACTGAACCTGCAATTTAGTGTCTTAAACCAGGGGTGTCAAACTAATTTTGCCCCGTTGGCCGCATTCAGTATTCAGCAAGGTCCGCAGGACTGCTCTGAAAATGGGTTATATTTCCTTTTTCAATGCTCCCTGACTGTCTAGCTTTCGTGTCGGTGATCAGTCTATTAGCGAGCTGGACAGTCAAGAAACTGAATGAATATAGGTCCGTCATTTCTACACAGTTTCCATTTGGTTGTAGTAATTTTAATGTATATTAAGCGCCTAGCCAATCCTATCCTATCCAAGCCAATCCTATCCAAGCCAAGCCAATCCTATCCAAGCCAAGCCAAGCCAAGCCTATCCAAGTCTATCCTAACCTATCCAAGCCTATCCTATCCAAGCCAATACAATCCTATCCAAGCCAATACAATCCTATCCAAGCCAATACAATCCTATCCAAGCCTATCCTATCAAGCCAATCCTATCCAAGCCTATACACATTTTGGATGTACATGTTGCCTCTTTCAAGAACATATTCTTTGCTCTCTCCTCCCTCCCTCTCTCCAGGTATGATCCGCAGCCTGGCGGCCCACAGTATGAACACGGAACAGGAGCTTAGCCAATGGAGCGCCGGCGACACGGACGACGGTCACCATAGCAACCAGCTGCGTCTGGCACTGCTCTTGCAGTTCCTGGAAAACCTGGAGAAACTGATGTACAACGCCTACGAGGGCTGTGCCAACGCTCTGACCGCACCGCCCAAGGTGCACACGCACGCAATAGCATCTGATAAATATGTGGCGGCAGGTAGCTTAGTGGTTAAGAGCGTTGTGCCAGTAACCGAAAGGTCGCTGGTTCTAATCCCCGAGCCAACTAGGTGAAAAATCTGTCGATGTGCCCTTGAGCAAGGCACTTAACCCTAATTTCTCCTGTAAGTCGCTCTGGATAAGAGCGTCTGCTAAATGACAAAAAAAGAAAATGTGTATGCGACCAATCAAATGTGATTTGATTTTGACACCCACACCTACACCCGGAGAAACTGATGTACAGCTCTTACGAGGGCTGTGCCAACTGACTGACCACACCGCCAAAGACACACACACACACAGCCCCAAGTGCCCCCCCAGCTCCTTATGTTAACTATCTCTCTCTCCCTCCCCCTCTTTTCTCTCTCTCTCCCTCCCTCCCTCCGTATCCAGGGTATCAGAACATTCTTCTATACCAACCGTCAGACCTGCCAGGATTGGCTGACTCGTATCCGCCTGGCCCTGATGAGGGTGGGGCTTCTGTCCGGCCAACCAGCAGTCACCGTCCGCCACGGCTTCGACCTGCTCACTGAGATCAAGAACAGCAGCACTCCGGTAACAGGAGGAAGAACACACACAGTCCTAATCCCTATATAGTGCACTACCTTTGACCAGAGCCCCAACTTCACCAAGTGTACTTGACCATACAGAGAAACACACTCAGCATCACCCGGTTCAACAGTCGTTTTCAACCCATGACCCCTTTACCTGAAGTTGCTAAATACATCACCTGTAACTGACCCCCCCATGTCTCCTCTCTGTAGGGTCCAGGTCTCTTCTGGTCACCTGTAACTGACCCCCACCCCCCACCCCATGTCTCCTCTTTGTAGGGTTCAGGTCTCTTCTGGTCACCTGTAACTTAACCCCCCATGTCTCCTCTCTGTAGGGTCCAGATCTCTCCTGGTCACCTGTAACTGACCCCCCCATGTCTCCTCTCTGTAGGGTCCAGATCTCTTCTGGTCACCTGTAACTGACCCCCCCCCCCCCCCCCCCATGTCTCCTCTCTGTAGGGTCCAATCTCTTCTGGTCACCTGTAAACTGACCCCCCCCACCATGTCTCCTCTCTGTAGGGTTCCAGATCTCTTCTGTCACCTGTAACGGACCCCCCATGTCTCCTCTCTGTAGGGTCCAGATCTCTTCTGGTCACCTGTAACTGACCCCCCCCCCCCCCCCCACCCCATGTCTCCTCTCTGTAGGGTCCAGATCTCTTCTGGTCACCTGTAACTGACCCCCCCATGTCTCCTCTCTGTAGGGTCCAGATCTCTTCTGGTCACCTGTAACTGACCCCCCCCATGTCTCCTCTCTGTAGGTCCAGATCTCTTCTGGTCACCTGTAACTGACCCCCCCCCACCATGTCTCCTCTCTGTAGGGTCCAGATCTCTTCTGGTCACCTGTAACTGACCCCCCCATGTCTCCTCTCTGTAGGGTCCAGATCTCTTCTGGTCACCTGTAACTGACCCCCCCCCACCCCATGTCTCCTCTCTGTAGGGTCCAGATCTCTTCTGGTCACCTGTAACTGACCCCCCCCATGTCTCCTCTCTGTAGGGTCCAGATCTCTCTGGTCACCTGTAACTGACCCCCCATGTCTCCTCTCTGTAGGGTCCAGATCTCTTCTGGTCACCTGTAACTGACCCCCCATGTCTCCTCTCTGTAGGGTCCAGATCTCTTCTGGTCACCTGTAACTGACCCCCCCCCATGTCTCCTCTCTGTAGGGTCCAGATCTCTCCTGGTCACCTGTAACTGACCCCCCCATGTCTCCTCTCTGTAGGGTCCGATCTCTTCTGGTCACCTGTAACTGACCCCCCATGTCTCCTCTCTGTAGGGTCCAGGTCTCTCCTGGTCAACTGTAACTGACCCCCCCCCCAGGTCTCCTCTCTGTAGGGTCCAGATCTCTTTGGTCACCTGTAACTGAACCCCCCCCCCCCCCCCACCCCCCATGTCTCCTCTCTGTAGGGTTCAGATCTCTTCTGGTCACCTGTAACTGACCCCCCCCCCCCCCCATGTCTCCTCTCTGTAGGGTCCAGATCTCTTCTGGTCACCTGTAACTGACCCCCCATGTCTCCTCTCTGTAGGGTCCAGATCTCTTCTGGTCACCTGTAACTGACCCCCCATGTCTCCTCTCTGTAGGGTTCCAGATCTCTTCTGGTCACCTGTAAACTGACCCCCCCCCCCCCCATGTCTCCTCTCTGTAGGGTCCAGATCTCTCTCTGGTCACCTGTAACTGACCCCCCATGTCTCCTCTCTGTAGGGTCCAGTCTCTTCTGGTCACCTGTAACTGACCCCCCATGTCTCCTCTCTGTAGGGTCCAGATCTCTTCTGGTCACCTGTAACTGACCCCCCCCCATGTCTCCTCTCTGTAGGGTCCAGATCTCTTCTGGTCACCTGTAACTGACCCCCCATGTCTCCTCTCTGTAGGGTCCAGATCTCTTCTGGTCACCTGTAACTGACCCCCCCCCCCCCCCATGTCTCCTCTCTGTAGGGTCCAGATCTCTCTGGTCACCTGTAACTGACCCCCCCCCCCCATGTCTCCTCTCTGTAGGGTCCAGATCTCTTCTGGTCACCTGTAACTGACCCCCCCATGTCTCCTCTCTGTAGGGTCCAGATCTCTTCTGGTCACCTGTAACTGACCCCCCCATGTCTCCTCTCTGTAGGGTCCAGATCTCTTCTGGTCACCTGTAACTGACCCCCCCATGTCTCCTCTCTGTAGGGTCCAGATTCTCTCTGGTCACCTGTACCTGACCCCCCCATGTCTCCTCTCTGTAGGGTCCAGATCTCTTCTGGTCACCTGTAACTGACCCCCCCCATGTCTCCCTCTCTGTAGGGTCCAGATCTCTTCTGTCACCTGTAACTGACCCCAACCATGTCTCCTCTCTTTAGGGTCCATGTCTCCTCTCTGTAGGTCCAGATCTCTTCTGGTCACCTGTAACTGACCCCCCAGTCTCCTCTCTGTAGGTCCAGAATCTCTTCTCTTCGGCCACCTTGTAACTTGACCCCCCATTGTCCCTCTCTGTAGGTCCAATCCTTCTGGTCCCCTGTAACTGACCCCCACATGTCCCTCTCGGTAGGTCCAGATCTCTTCTGGTCACCTGACTGACCCCCCCATGTCTCCTCTCTGTAGGGTCCAGTCTTCTCCGGTCCCACCGGTTAACTGACCCCTCCCATTCTGCCTCTCTGTAGGGTCCAGAATCTCTTCTGGTCACGCTGTAACTGACCCACCCCCATGGCTCCTCTCGTAGGTCCAGGTCTCTCCCTGGTCACCTGTAACTGACCCCTCCATGTCTCCTCTCTGTAGGTCCCAGATCTCTTCTGGTCACCTGTAACTTACCCCCCATGTCGCCCTCTCTGTAGGGTCCAGATCTCTTCTGTCACCTGTAACGGACCCCCATGTCCTCCTCTCTGTAGGTCCAGATCTCTCCTGTCACCTGTAACTGACCCCCCATGTCTCCTCATCTGTAGGGGTCCAGATCTCTTCTGGTCACCTGTAACTGACCCCCACATGTCTCCTCCCTCTGTAGGGTCCAAGTCTCTTCTGGTCACCTGTAAACTGACCCCCCCATGTCTCCTCTCTGTAGGGTCCAGATCTCTCCTGGTCACCTGTAACTGACCCCCCATGTCTCCTCTCTGTAGGGTCCAGATCTCTTCTGGTCACCTGTAACTGACCCCCCATGTCTCCTCTCTGTAGGGTCCAGATCTCTTCTGGTCACCTGTAACTGACCCCCCATGTCTCCTCTCTGTAGGGTCCAGATCTCTTCTGGTCACCTGTAACTGACCCCCCCATGTCTCCTCTCTGTAGGGTCCAGGTCTCTCCTGGTCACCTGTAACTGACCCCTCCCATGTCTCCTCTCTGTAGGGTCCAGAGTTGGAGGCTCCTCTGGTGATGCTGGTGGAGGCTCTGTGTGAACTTCACTGTCCTGAGGCTATCCAGGGTTTAGCTGCCTGGAGTCTCACCAACACTGGCAAGAGTCTGGCTTGGGTCAGCTCTGTGGCACTACAGGCTGAGGGCCGGTAAGGAAAACATCCCTGTGTGTGTGTGAAAGTGGAGGCCACTCTTGGGTTTCAAACCAAGCTTAGCATCTTAAAGGGGCAATTCTTAAAGAATATGACTTATAAATGCCTCATGAGCGTAATTCCTCCTGCCGTACCCCATCAGAACCCAAAATATAAGCTTGTTTTACACAAATGTTTTGAAACAAAGTAAATGTAAACAAACACTATATAGCTTCACCATGGTTACAACTAGAATGTTGCTCTATATAATTCATGGATGATTACAACTAGAATGTTGCTCTATGATGTCATGGATGATTACAACTAGTGTTGCTCTATATAATGTCATGGATGATTAGAACTAGTGTTGCTCTATGATGTCATGGATGATTACTACTAGAATGTTGCTCTATAATGTCATAGATGATTACAACTAGAATGTTGCTCTATATAATGTCATGGATGATTACAACTAGAATGTTGCTCTATATAATGTAATGGATGATTACAACTAGAATGTTGCTCTATATGTCATGGATGGTTACAACCAGAATGTTGCTCTTTATAATGTCATGGATGATTACAACTAGAATGTTGCTCTATATAATGTCATGGATGATTACGACTAGAATGTTGCTCTATAATGTCATGGATGGTTACAACTAGAATGTTGCTCTATAATGGCATGGATGGTTACAACCAGAATGTTGCTCTCTATAATGTCATGGATGATTACAACTAGAATGTTGCTCTATATAATGTCATGGATGATTACGACTAGAATGTTGCTCTATAATGGCATGGATGGTTACAACCAGAATGTTGCTCTATATAATGTCATGGATGATTACGACTAGAATGTTGCTCTATAATGTCATGGATGGTTACAACTAGAATGTTGCTCTAGAATGTCATGCATGATTACAACTAGAATGTTGCTCTATGATGTCATGGATGGTTACGACTAGAATGTTGCTCTATAATGGCATGGATGGTTACAACTAGAATGTTGCTCTATAATGTCATGGATGGTTACGACTAGAATGTTGCTCTATAATGGCATGGATGGTTACAACTAGAATGTTGCTCTAGAATGTCATGCATGATTACAACTAGAATGTTGCTCTATGATGTCATGGATGATTACGACTAGAATGTTGCTCTATATAATGTCATGGATGAGTACAACTAGAATGTTGCTCTATATAATGTAATGGATGATTACAACTAGAATGTTGCTCTATATAATGTCATGGATGAGTACAACTAGAATGTTGCTCTATATAATGTCATGGATGAGTACAACTAGAATGTTGCTCTATATAATGTAATGGATGAGTACAACTAGAATGTTGCTCTATATAATGTAATGGATGATTACAACTAGAATGTTGCTCTATATGTCATGGATGGTTACAACCAGAATGTTGCTCTCTATAATGTCATGGATGATTACAACTAGAATGTTGCTCTATATAATGTCATGGATGATTACAACTAGAATGTTGCTCTATAATGCCATGGATGGTTACGACTAGAATGTTGCTCTAGAATGGCATGGATGGTTACAACTAGAATGTTGCTCTATGATGTCATGGATGATTACAACTAGAATGTTGCTCTATAATGGCATGGATGGTTACAACTAGAATGTTGCTCTATGATGTCATGGATGATTACAACTAGAATGTTGCTCTATAATGTCATGGATGGTTACGACTAGAATGTTGCTCTAGAATGTCATGGATGGTTACGACTAGAATGTTGCTCTATAATGGCATGGATGGTTACAACTAGAATGTTGCTTTAGAATGTCATGCATGATTACAACTAGAATGTTGCTCTATGATGTCATGGATGATTACGACTAGAATGTTGCTCTATAATGGCATGGATGGTTACTAGAATGTTGCTATAGAATGGCATGGATGGTTACGACTAGAATGTTGCTCTAGAATGTAATGGATGATTACGACTAGAATGTTGCTCTATATAATTTCATGGATGGTCAGCCCTTGCATCCAAAGCTGAATTTGAGTGGTTACATTTCTCCAGCCCCATCCCTCAGCTTTTTACCGAAACGGGGCAGTGAGGACGCTTTATTGTTTCAACTGTTGATTGCCACTTTAAATGTAGTCAATAAGTAGGTAGCACACGCCTCTGTGTTGTCCGTAGATGCTGTTGATTGATATGTCAAGACCATATAATAACCCATACCGCTCTCTGTCAAGACCATATAATAACCCATACCGCTCTCTGTCAAGACCATATAATAACCCATACCTCTGTCTGTAAAGACCATATAATAACCCATACCTCTGTCTGTAAAGACCATATAGTAACCCATACCTCTCTGTCTGTAAAGACCATATAATAACCCATACCTCTCTGTCAAGACCATATAGTAACCCATACCTGTCTCTCTCTCTGTCTAGGTTTGAGAAGGCTGCAGTGGAGTACCAGGAACAGCTGTGTGCCGTGACCGGGATGGACTGTTCCATTAAGGGCTTTGACCGCTCACTCCTCAAACTGGCCGGAGCCAACAGCTCCAACACAGCCAGCCCCAAACACACCGGCAACGGTGAGACGCCACACAGGGAATAGGGTGACATTTCAGACGCAGCCACTGGCTGATAATAACCAAGTACCCTCTTCTCCTCTTCTCCCCCCCCTCTCTTCTCCTCCTGTCCTTCCGCCTCTCCTCTCCTCCTCCTTCAGGTGACGGCAGGAAGACGGTTCTCCTCAAGTCCAGCGAGTGTTCCTCCGAGGTGCTCAACCTCCTTGCCAATAAGGCGTGCCAGTGCTATGTGGCCCTCTGTGATTGGTCCTCAGTGCAGGAGTGGCAGGCCAGCGTGCACGCCCTCAAGAAGAACCCTGGTAACCCTGTCGCAGCAAGCGTGCACCTGAAGACAGACTTCAACTACGTACGGGCGCTGAGCTGCTTCGAGGACGGAGACTTCCCAGCATGCCGTGCTCAGCTGGAGCTCCTGGCTGGGGAGAGAGACGACTATGGCCTGCTCAACTCCACCTCTACTGGCTCCAAGGACAAACTAGGTAGTAGGGAGGAAGGGATGGGGGGGAGAGAGGGAGAGGACTACAGTGTGTCTGATGAGACTGCCTCTATCAGTGTTGAGTCTACTCCTTAGAGGTGTGTGTGTCTTAATGATGTGTGTGTGTGTATAGACCTGAAGCGTCTCCTCCCGGCAGTGTTGAGCCCGGACCCCTCAGAACTGCAGAAGGCCATCGAGGTGCAGCTGCTGCGGAGCGCTGTGGCCGCCATGACAACGGCCAATCACGAGCAGGAACCAAAGGCCATGCCCAACTCAGAGTGAGTCTCTCATTGGATCCTGGAGATCACTTTTTGTTGAATCACGTATTAATGTATTAGTGCTGGGTAGGAACAAAAACCTGCAGAATTGTGGAACACTTCATTGGGAAGATCTGTTGCATACTCCTCGGTTCCTTCTCAAAACCCATTGGAGGAGGTGAAAGGGGCAGGACCTCAGACTTTGTCATCCAATGGGTTGTAAGAGAGAGACAGAGGAAACAGCTGTCGTTGAGATCTTCCATTATGTCTTCCACATTCCATTTAGATTGAGCTGGGTTCAGTTGGACTGACCGCTGTTTCTATGTGTTCTGTCTGTGCTGCTCTGTGGGCCCTGGTCAAAAGTAGTGCACTATATAGGGAATAGGGTGCCATTTGGGACATACTATGGGTGCCTCATAATAATATCTCCTTTACCCTGAAGTGTACAGTCGTTCACTACTTCCCACTACTCTAAAAGCATTGTATTGGTGGAGACATGGGCTGGTGGGAGTTTCCACCATTTTTGTGATACCAGTCATTTCCTTTCCCAATCAGGTGACAGGAAGTGACCACACTGGGAGGAAGGAGAGATAATGGCTTATGTCTTCTGTGTGTGTTGCAGTACCCTGGTCCGTTACCTGAAGCAGACGGGTCGTATCTCTCTGGGTCCCCTCCGCCTCTCCACCCTCACCCTCTCTGACGGCCTGCCCACCCTCGCCACCCTGCAGTTACACTGCTGCTCCGCCCTGGAGAACACACTCAGCGGACAGGAGGTACACACACACACACACACACACCCTCGCCACCCTGCAGTTACACTGCTGCTCCGCCCTGGAGAACACACTCAGCGGACAGGAGGTACACACACACACACACACACACCCTCGCCACCCTGCAGTTACACTGCTGCTCCGCCCTGGAGAACACACTCAGCGGACAGGAGGTACACTACATGACCAAAAGTATGTGGACACCTGCTCGTCAAACATCTCATTCCAAAATCATGGGTATTAATATGGAGTTGGTCCCCCCCTTTGCTGCTATAACAGCCCCCACTCTTCTGGGAAGGCTTTCCACTAGATGATGGAACATTGCTGCGGGGATTTGCTTCCATTCAGCCACGAGCATTAGTGAGGTCAGGTACTGATGTTGGGCGATTAGGCCTGGCTCGCAGTCGGTGTTCAAATTCATCCCAAAGGTGTTAGATGGGGTTGAGGTCAGGGCTCCGTGCAGGCCAGTCAAATTCTTCCACACTGATCTCAACAAACCATTTATGTATGGACCTCGCTTTGTGCACAGGGGCATTGTCATGCTGAAACAGGAAAGGGCCTTCCCCAAACTGTTGCCACAAAGTTGGAAGCACAGAATTGTGCATGGTGATCTTAGGCTTGTGTGCGGCTGCTTGGCCATGGAAACCCATTTCATGAAGCTCCCTTCAAACGGTTCTTGTGCTGAAGTTGCTTCCAGAGGCAGTTTGGAACTCGGTAGTGATTGTTGCAACCGAGGACAGACGATTCTTACGCGCTTAAGCACTCGGCGGTCCCGTTCTGTGAGCTTGTGTGGCCTACCACTTTGCGGCTGAGCCGTTGTGTCTCCTAGACGTTTCCACTTCACAATAACAGCACTTACAGTTGACCAGTGCAGCTTTAGCTGGGCAGAAATGTGATGAACTGACTTGTTGGAAAGATCCTATGACGGTGCCACGTTGAAAGTCACTGAGCTCTTAAGTACGGGCCGTTCTACTGCCAATGTTTGTATATGGAGATTGCATGGCTGTGTGCTCGATTTTATATACCTGTCAGATTCAACAACTGAGACATAAACTGAACAAGTTCCACACACATGTGACTAACAGAAATTGAATAATGTGTCCCTGAACAAAGGGTGGGTCAAAATCAAAAGTAACAGTCAGTATCTGGTGTGGCCACCAGCTGCATTAAGTACTGCAGTGCATCTCCTCCTCATGGACTGCACCATATTTGCCAGTTCTTGCTTTGAGATGTTACCCCACTCTTCCACCAAGGCACCTGCAAGTTCCCGGACATTTCTGGGGGGAATGGCTCTACACCGTTGTTGCCGGTGATGTCTGGTGAGGACCTGCCTTACAATAGGCCTACAAGCCCTCAGTCCAGCCTCTCTCAGCCTATTGCGGACAGTCTGAGCACTGATGGAGGGGTTGTGCCTTCCTGGTGTAACTCGGGTAGTTGTTGCCATCCTGTACCTGTCCCGCAGGTCTGATGTTCGGATGTACCGATCCTGTGCAGGTGTTGTTACACGTGGTCTGCTACTGCGAGGACGATCAGCTGTCCGTCCTGTCTCCCTGTAGCGCTGTCTTAGGCGTCTCACAGTACGGACATTGCAATTTATTGCCCTGGCCACATCTGCAGTCCTCATGCCTCCTTGCAGAATGCCTAAGACAAGTTCACACAGATGAGCAGGGACCCTGGGCATCTTTCTTTTGGTGTTTTTCAGAGTCAGTAGAAAGGCCTCTTTAGTGTCCTAAGTTTTCATAACTGTGACCTTAATTGCCTACCGTCTGTAAGCTGTTAGTGTCTTAACGACCGTTCCATAGGTGCATGTTCATTAATTGTTTATGGTTCATTGAACAAGCATGGGAAACAGTGTTTAAACCCTTTACGATGAAGATCTGTGAAGTTATTTGGATTTTTACAAATTATCTTTGAAAGACTGGTCCTGAAAAAGGGACGCTTCTTTTTTTGCTGAGTTTGTTTATATATATATATATATATAAATATATAAACACACACACATACATACAGTGGGGAGAACAAGTACTTGATACACTGCCGATTTTTGCAGGTTTTCCTACTTACAAAGCAAGTAGAGGTCTGTAATTGTTATCATAGGTACACTTCAACTGTGAGAGACGGAATCTAAAACAAAAATCCAGAAAATCACATTGTATGATTTTTAAGTAATTAATTTGCATTTTATTGCATGACATAAGTATTTGATCACCTACCAACCAGTAAGAATTCCGGCTCTCACAGACCTGTTAGTTTTTGTATAAAAGACACCTGTCCAGACACTCAATCAAACAGACTCCAACCTCTCCACAATGGCCAAGACCAGAGAGCTGTGTAAGGACATCAGGGATAAAATGTTAGACCTGCACAAGGCTGGGATGGGCTACAGGACAATAGGCAAGCAGCTTGGTGAGAAGGCAACAACTGTTGGCGCAATTATTAGAAAATGGAAGAAGTTCAAGATGACGGTCAATCACCCTCGGTCTGGGGCTCCATGCAAGATCTCACCTCGTGGGGCATCACTGATCATGAGGAAGGTGAGTGATCAGCCCAGAACTACACGGCAGGACCTGGTCAATGACCTGAAGAGAGCTGGGACCACAGTCTCAAAGAAAACCATTAGTAACACACTATGCCGTCATGGATTAAAATCCTGCAGCGCATGCAATGTCCCCCTGCTCAAGCCAGCGCATGTCCAGGCCCATCTGAAGTTTGCCAATGACCATCTGGATGATCCAGAGGAGGAATGGGAGAAGGTCATGTGGTCTGATGAGACAAAAACAGAGCTTTTTGGTCTAAACTCCACTCGCCGTGTTTGGAGGAAGAAGAAGGATGAGTACAACCCCAAGAACACCATCCCAACGTGAAGCATGAAGGTGGAAACATCAATCTTTGGGGATGCGTTTCTGCAAAGGGGACAGGACGACTGCACCGTATTGAGGGGAGGATGGATGGGGCCATGTATCGCGAAATCTTGGCCAACAACCTCCTTCCCTCAGTAAGAGCATTGAAGATGGGTCGTGGCTAGGTCTTCCAGCATGACAACGACCCGAATCACACAGCCAGGGCAACTAAGGAGTGGCTCCGTAAGAAGCATCTCAAGGTCCTGGAGTGGCCTAGCCAGTCTCCAGACCTGAACCCAATAGAAAATATTTGGAGGGAGCTGAAAGTCCGTATTGCCCAGCGACAGCCCCGAAACCTGAAGGATCTGGAGAAGGACTGTATGGAGGAGTGGGCCAAAATCCCTGCTGCAGTGTGTGCAAACGTGGTCAAGACCTACAGGAAACGTATGATCTCTGTAATTGCAAACAGGTTTCTGTACCAAATATTAAGTTCTGCTTTTCTGATGTATCAAATACTTATGTCATGCAATAAAATGCAAATTCATTAGTTAAAAATCATACAATGTGATTTTCTGGATTTTTATTTTAAATTCCGTCTCTCACAGTTGAAGTGTACCTATGATAAAAATTACAGACCTCTACATGCTTTGTAAGTAGGAAAAACCTGCAAAATCGGCAGTGTATCAAATACTTGTTCTCCCCACTGTGTGTGTGTGTGTATGTATGTATGTATGTGTGTGTGTGTGTGTGTGTATATATATATATATACACACACACACACACACACACACACACACACACACACACACACACACACCCCTAACCCCTCCTCCTCTCCAGGACTGTCTGATCCCCCTGTACAGTGAAGCGCTCAGCACCTGTAAACAACAGGATGTCCAGCCGTGGCTCCACGCGCTGAGATACACCATCTACCAGAGACAACTACTGCTCAAGCTCAAAGGTACACAATGTACCTGTGTATCCCTGTGTGTGTGTGTGTGTGTGTGTCCCTGTGTGTTGTTTCTGCTCTCTTAGACTCTGTGCTTTATATCTATCTGTATTTATTTCAGTGGGTGTGTGGGGTCCCTGTTGGTGGGGTCCCCATCATGTGACTCACGTTAACCCTCTCTCGCTTCCTGTGCTCCATTACCCAGGCTCCTCTGCTCCGCTGGACGGCCACCTTATGGAACTGTGTCTGACGGCCGTCAAGTTCGCCCGGAAACAGGGCAACATCGCCCTGGCAACGCGGCTGCTGGGCCAGTGCAGCGAGGAGGAGGGAGGAGAGGATGGGTTGAGCCGTGCGTTCAGGCGTCTGACACTAGAGGGAGCTGTGGGGGAGAAGTGGGGACCTGAACTACAGATCGAGAAGGCGAAAGTACTCTGCACTGCGGGTGTGTGTGTGTGTGTGTGTGTACGTACGTGTGTGTGTGTTTTAGTGTTTGGCTTTCTCATCTTTCTCTCTCCCCTTATTCCTCCCCCAACTCTCTCATGTGCCACCTCTCTCCCCCTCCCTTCTCCTCTCTCTCCCCCTCTCTCTGTCTTCTCCCTCCTCTCTCCCCTCCTCCCCCCTCCCCCCTCCTCTCCCCTCTCCCCCTCCCCCCTCTCTCTCTCCCCCTCCCCCCCCTCTCTCTCTCCCCTCCGTCTCTCCTCTCTCTCTCTCCCTCTCTCTCTCCCCCCTCCCTCTCTCTCTCCCCCCTCCCTCCCTCCTCTCTCTCTCTCTCTCTCCCCCTCCCTCTCCCCCTCCCTTCTCCTCTTCCTCCTCCTCCAGGTCAGTCCATGGCAGCCATGGAGATGTTGAGTTCCTATGCTCTGTCTTACTGTCGCTCAGGGAAGTGTGAGCGCGCCGCCTGTTGCTCCGTCCTCACTCTGTGTAAGTAGTGCTTCCAGTGCTTCCCAAATGGCACCCTATTCCCAACATAGTGCTCTTATTTGGGGGAGAAGAGTTCCATTTGAGATGCAGGCGTACCAGGGTTGGTACCCGTCTCTCTGTCCTGTGCATACAGGATAATTGCTGCATGTTACTGCAATTTCAGGGGCCTTTTTTTTTTTTTAGAAAACCTCCCATGTGTATTTTTGGCACGGCCCTGTTCTAACCGTCTCTGTCTGTAGGTAAGTGGCTGCTGGCGGACTGGAAGGACATGACCCCTCAGCTCAAACAGGTGGTGAAGAGGTCAGGGGTCGCTGTCTTTCCCCCCCTCAGCCGGAACATCACAGCCCTGCTGGAGCTACCCCTAGAGGACCAGGGCATGCCCCGAATCACAGCTGAGACCACAGGTAGGACACACCCCCTAAACTGCCTGAGTGTGGGTGTAGGAGAACCAAACTTGGTCCTGGGGAAGCTCTACCAGGCTGTAACCTAACCCCTACACACTAACCCCTCTCTCTCTCTGCCTCCGTAGTGAGTGTGGGTGTAGGAGAACCAGACTTGATCCTGGGGCAGCTCTACCAGTTGTCCACCAGTCAGGCCCCGGAGGTGGCCAAGTCCTGGGCGGCTCTCGCCAGCTGGGCCTATCGCTGGGGACGGAAGGTGGTTGACAACGCCAGGTACCTACTCTGCCAGTTGTTGTTTTATTATGCCCTTTTAGTTTTGATTTTCAGTTGTCGTGAAACACACATGAATACAGACGTGGTAAAAGCTGTTGATAACACATGAATACAGACGTGGTACATTCCGTGGTAAAAGACGTTGATAACACATGAATACAGATGTGGTAAAAGCTGTTGATAACACATGAATACAGACGTGGTGCATTCTGTGGTAAAAGCCGTTGATTAAACATGAATTCAGACGTGGTACATTCTGTGGTAAAAGCTGTTGATAACACATGAATACAGATGTGGTAAAAGCTGTTGATAACACATGAATACAGACGTGGTACATTCTGTGGTAAAATACGTTGATAACATGAATACGGACGTGGTACATTCTGTGGTAAAAGTTATTGATAACACATAAATACGGACGTGGTACATTCTGTGGTAAAAGCCGTTGATTAAACATGAATACAGACGTGGTACATTCCGTGGTAAAAGCTGTTGATAAGACATGAATACAGATGTGGTAAAAGCTGTTTGATAACACATGAATACAGATGTGGTACATTCTGTGGTAAAAGCTGTTTGATAACACATGAATACAGACGTGGTACATTCTGTGGTAAAAGCTGTTTGATAACACATGAATACAGACGTGGTACATTCTGTGGTAAAAGCTATCTACCTCTCTTCCCGTCATCGCTCTCTTCCATCCCTCTCTCTCCTCTCCTCACATACTTCTGTCCTCTTTCCCCTCTCTCTCCTCCCATCCCTCTCTCCTTTCATCTCTCCTCCCCTACTTCCGTCCCTCTCTCTCATCTTCCGTCCCTCTCTCTCATCTTCCGTCCCTCTCTCTCATCTTCCGTCCCTCTCTCTCATCTTCCGTCCCTCTCTCTCATCTTCCCTCCCATCCCCTCTCTCTCTATTCCTCCAGTCAAGGTGAAGGTGTGCCTCTGCTCCCGGGAGAGAAGGAGGAGATCGAGGAGCTTCTCCCAGAATGCACCAGTGAGGAGGACAAGGAGACCATCTTCAGCATCCTGGGTCAGGCCATGTGTCGACCCGCCGGAATACAGGTGTGTGTGAGCTCATGAGGAATGGATAACTGTTGAATTAGTAACTATTGTTTTAGTATGTACACATCTTGTGCTTTCTCCCAGTGTTCTGAAAATATCATAGTTCATCCAGGATAGAAGTTTAGAACTTGAGTCTACATGGAACTGCATAACAAAGTGACCCGGTTTGTGTCTCTTTTTCCATGTGTGTCTCTACCTTTTAGACTCTCTCTGTCGTCTTTCCTTGATTCCTGACAAATCTCATCTCCTCGTCTCCTCAACTGTATTGGTGGAGAAGGTCCAAGGTCCCGCCCCTCAGACCTTCTCTTCCAATGTGTTTTGAGAAGGGATGGGATGAGAAAACTAGAGGACTGCGTCTATTAAAAAAGAACCTGTTACTCTGGCTGGATCCCAAATCACCTCCCTCCCCTCGCCCCTCCGTTTACACGCTCCTCCCCCATGTGCACAAGTGTCCCAAAGCTGAGAGAGTGAAATATGGAGGGTGTGGGAGCTAATTAAGACCCTCAGATAGCCACTTCGACGAGTCTGACACACTTCCGGCTTAAGAGCAAAGTGGTTTCCCATAACGCACCGCGTAAGTTTTTGGTGCAATTTTAGGCAATTTCACCAAAATAATTGCGGCATGCCTAATTATATGACACGTGCGTGTGTCTGATTTCGAGGCTTGACACTTAAAACAAATGAAATACCTCCCGAATGATTAACTGTTACTGAGGTTTATATCTTGTAAAACAACGGGGGATTTGTTAATTAGAGTTTCATGCTCTTTTTATTATTTGAAAGGGAAACATGAATTGCATCATTCAATTCAGGATTGTGTCTTGAAATTGATGGGTTTATTTATCCCCTCGCCACTCTGGAAGTCACCCTCTGAGTTTCCTCAGCAACACGTGACAACGGAGGGCCCTCCAACCGAGTTGGGTTGGGATTCACCGTCTGCCTGCTATCATAACTCTAACTCTCCCCCCTCTCCCCTCCCTCCCTCCAGGATGAGGACATGGCCCTGCAGCAGGAGGAAGATGAGGAGGATGACATGGTGGATGTGATCTGGAGGCAGCTGCTGTCTGCCTGTCCCTGGCTGGAGGAGCAGGGGGAGGTGGAGGGGGTCCAGGGTGGGGGTAGTGGGGTGATGGAGGGTCTGATCCGGGTCTGGAGGAGGGTGGTGGACCGGATCTTCAGCCTCTACAGGGTCTCCTGCAGGGCCTACTTCACCTTCCTCAAACTCAACGCTGGACAGGTGGGTGGAACTCGCTCTCTCTCGTGGGTGGACTGGGACTGGCAGGGGAGACTGGGAGTGGTTAGTCCGGGACTATTTCTATGGGGATTTTCCATTGAGCGTGCTTTTTAGTCTGGGACTAAGCTTAATCTTGGCTCCTGAGTGGCGCAGCGGTCTAAGGCACTGCATCTCAGTGCTTGAGGCGTCACTACAGACCCTGGTTCGATTCCAGGCTGTATCACAACCGGCCGTGATTGGGAGTCCCATAGGGCGGCGCACAATTGGCCCAGCGTCGTCCGGGTTTGGCCGTTGTAGGCCGTCATTGTAAATAAGAATTTGTTCTTAACTGACTTGCCTAGTTAAATAAAGGTAAAATAAATATAATCTGTGTCTGGGAAACTGGCCCTACGAGTACTTGTCTGTAAGATTAATCTTAAAAAGTAGAATTTATGTTGGTCTGGATACATGCTAGAAGATTCTCAGCCCGGTATTGCTATTCATTTCACTATGTTTCTATTAATCTAGGACTTGTGGAAGTTTGGGACATTGTAGGAGATGCCTTCTCTTATAGCCTTTTCACTTTCACTGCATCTCCTTGCCCTCCCTCCATCCATCTCTCCATCCATCTCTTTATCCATCCATCTCTCCCTCCATCTCTCCTTGCCCTCCCTCCATCTCTTCATCCATCTCTTCATCCATCTCTTCATCCATCTCTCCTCCATCTCTCCTTGCCCTCCATCCATCATCTCTTCTTCCTCCATCAGGTACCCATGGATGAGGATGATCCCAAGCTGCTGCTGACCAATCAGAACAGCAAGCAGAGCAACGACGATGTCATCGTCATGGCAACGCTGCGGTTGCTACGGCTGCTGGTGAAGCACGCCGGGGAGCTGAGGGAGGGGCTTGAGCTTGGGCTCGCCTCTACCCCCACCGCCCCCTGGAGAGGTAACACACACACACCTCCACTGTCCCCAGCAGAGGTAACACACACACACCTCCACTGTCCCCAGCAGAGGTAACACACACCTCCACTGTCCCCAGCAGAGGTAACACACACACACATCTCCGCTGTCCCCTGGAGAGGTAACACACTCACACATCCACCGCCCCCTGGAGAGGTAACACACTCACACATCCACCGCCCCCTGGAGAGGTAACACACAGAGGGAGCTCTCTGTTCTGATGTGTCCACATTTCTCTGAAGGCTCCTATTGTTACAACCTAGAAATTAATTTATATTTATTAAACTGACATTCTAGTATAAGACCTAGAATACTTTATGGAGAGATTTGAGAGACCTTTGCTACCTTTTCTGTCTCCTGCTAATTCTGTCCCCCCCCCAGGCATCATCCCCCAGCTGTTCTCTCGTCTGAACCACCCAGAGGCTTACATCAGACAGAGTATCTGTAGTCTGCTGTGTCGCGTTGCCCAGGACTCACCACACCTCATCCTGTACCCTGCTATAGTAGGATCACTGTCTCTGGGAGGAGACGCACAGCATCAAACCCCTCTCCCACACTCTCCACCAAAACCCTCTCTAGCCCCTTCTCTCCCTCACCTCCTCTCCCTCCCTCCTCTCTCTCTCACACCCCCTCCTCTCTCTCTCCACACTCCCTCTCTCTCACCTCCTCCTCTCTCTCACACTACTCTCTCTCTCTCACACTCACCTCTCTCCCACACTCCTCTCTCTCTCTCCCACCACTTCCTCTCTCCACTCACCTCTCCTCTCCCCAACATCACTCCCCCTTTTTACCTTTCTCCTCTCCAACCCCCCACCCCCCCTGTTTGGGGACAGTCCGGGCTCCAACTCCCCCAAATTTTTTTAAAGAAACCCCCCGCGCCCGCCCCCCCGGGGGGGGCCAGGGGGGGCTTTGAAGGAGGGGGAAAGGGCAACCCCCCCCAAAGGGGAAATGGGCGGGGGGGGAATTTTTTGGTTTTCCCCCACCAACCCCATGTGTACGTACAGAAATTTCAACTGGGTTTTGGGAACCCCACTAGGGGTTAAGGTAAATACTTCCCCCCCCCCCACTATGGTGTTCAGGTAAAAAAATTTCCCCCATACTGGTTTTTAGTTTTTTCCCCCCCTACTTTTCCTGGATAAATACCCCCTGTACACGGTTTTTGAAATTTTATTAAATGGGGTTTTGTTATTATTTTCCCCCAGTTATACTCCCCAAAATAGCTCACAAATTTAAAATCTTTTTAATTTCCAGCATTTGAAAAATTTTTTTTAAATTTTGAATTTTTTAACAACCCCTTTTTCCCAAAACGAATAAACTAAACCTTTTATGATTCCCTCGCACGAAAGCAATTTCCTCAGTTTATACCCTTTCTTTTTTTAAATTTTCCCCAAAAAAACTTTTTATAAAATGATTTAAAACTTTAATTTAGGGAAAAAAATTTTTTTTTCCCTCAAAATGAATGCATTCCGGGAAATTTATTGGAAAGCCCTCTTTTTTGGACCAAATTTTGGAAAATTTCGGGGGGTTTAAAAATTTTAAACTTTTTTCCCCCCTTGGGCAAAAAACCAATCGGGAAAATGGGCTAAACGGGGAATGATTTGGGGGTTGCCCAGCCCCCGCGTTTTGGGGGATGGGGGTCCGTTGGGGCGGGTCGTGGGGACCCAAAACCCTTTTGGGGGTGTTTCCCTCCCCCCATCAATCTGGTAAAAGTTTGGGCTACCTCTTAAGTCTTCCCAGGCCCAAAATTTTTGGCCTGGGAGGTTCACCTTAAAAACGGGTAAGAGGTGCAGAAAAACCCAAAGAAGTTTTGCTCCCCAAAATAGGCCCCCAAAAATCTAGTCTGTATCCCCTTTTTAGAAAACCCACTCAACAAAACATCCTTCCTGACGAAAAGTTGCTGGCCGTTGGGCCTCCTAATTTTTTTAATTTTTTAAAGCCCCTTACTCGTAACTGAAATCGGGGGCAAAAACCCGCCAAAAAAAACCTGTTTCGAGAAACCTGGCTGGAAAACTTTAGAAAAGGCCAAAAGGAAAAAACCCCCGGAGGAACCCCGGCTTTAGGTTTCCCCCTCTTCTGGGTTTCCGGGGGGAGATTAAACCCCCTGCCTTTCAAAAAGTTCCCCCGTGCAACATGGTCAAAAAAAAAAAAAAGATATTCTTTTTTTTTCCCGCCACCAAATTTAATTTAAAAAACTTGGGGGGTGGGGTTTTAACCCGGAAAAGTTTTAAAATGTGCCCCGCATGGGGAAAAAGGAGCCCAGGGGGACCCACTATGTCCGGGTGGTTTTTCCGTTGGGTTTTAAGGGGCCACAAGGGAAAACCAGGTTTGGACTGGGGCTCCCGGCCGGAACTGGAAAAAAACCAACCCGGAGGGGGGCCCGGGTTGGGGCCCTCACCCGGGGTCCTACGTTGGTTGGGGGGGTTTTTGGGAGGCGAGGAATTGGGCCAAATTACCGGCACTTTAAACAAAATATTAGGGTTTAAACCAAAAACCCCAACCCCCCCACAAACATGCCTTCTGGACTGAACAGGAGCGGGGCCCCGAGACCCTTGCCCTCCCCGGAAAACCCCCCCCGGGAAACCCTGGGCCCCACCCCTCCCCAGAGGGGGGCCCCCCCCCAACCCCGAGGGTTCCCCCCCCCAAAAATTAAAAAAGGGCCAATTTGCCCCAAAGGCTCCCCCCCCAAAAAAAAAAAAGGGGGGGGGGGATTTTAAAAGCAATGGGTTTCCATGGTTTTCGCATGCTCTTTTGGCCATTTTCCCCCTTTTAATTCCCCCCCTGCCTTCTTGTTTTGGTTTTGGGAGTTATCCCTGTCCAAAAATTTATCCTTTTCAAGAAAACCCCCTTTTTGTTTATATCTATCAATTTCCCCTGTTTACGTTTCTGGTGGGGGGTTGTCCCCGCCGGACTGTTTTAACCTAGGCTGAAGAGGGCCCCCCCGTTTGGGCTTTTGTCACGGCAGATTGCCCCTCCTTTCGAATTGGCGGCCAAGGGTTGTTTCCTTTGGATTTTTCACCGGGGGGGTTATTTCCCCCGGACGAAGAAAGGGTCAAAAGTTATCCCCTTGGGGGCTTTAAAAACAGCGGGGAATTGCCCCCTTTTTTAAATTCCCAGGGGGCAATATTTTTTGTCTGGTAGAAAATCATCAGAGTTTTCCCGGGCCCCGGACGTTGCTGGTGGCGAGTTATCCCTGCCTGGTCTTTACAGCTCAGAGTTGCCCTGTCCTGGTAGGGGTATCTGCTGGCAAAATCATTTTCCTTCCGACCCCGTTTTTTCCCTTTCCTTTTTTTTTCCCTTTCCCTGCCTATCTAACTATTTTAAATAATTTTTAAAATTAATAATTTTTTAAATTTTCTTTTAAAGTGTTTTTTAATTTAATTTTTATTTTTTACGTTTGGTTTTTTACCCTCTTCCCTTTTTCCCAACACTTCCTTCTCCCTTTTCTTTTTTTTTCTTAAATTCTTCTTTGTTTCCCTTTGTTTTTCTCCCACTTCTCCCCCCGGGCTTTCCCGTGGGTTTTTTCCTTTTCCCCCCTGTTTTTTTTCCCCTTTTTGGGTTTTTTTTTCCCCCCTTTTAGAAGTGATAACCCTTGTCTTTCTTCAAGAGGGCCACTCTAAAAACACTTTCTATCTCCTTGGTTTTTTTTGGTACCATTTAGGGTAAACCCCCCCCCGCGACCCCCCAAAAGTTTTCCCCCCTATTGGAAACCCCCTGGGGAACTGTGAAACCCGGGAACCCCGGGGGAGTGGGTTTCCAGGGTTTTCCCGCCGTTTTGGGGGTTTTTTTTTGTTGGGGAGGGGGAATTGGGAAAGTGTTTTTTAAATTTTTCATTTTCCCCCTGATTTAAAAGGAACTCGGAGAGGCCCTTTAAAACGGCCCAAACCGTGGCGCATGGCAAGATGCTGCGGCAGTGTGGCCGAACCGGTTGAATCCCGGTTTTTTACCCCCGCACCGGGGGAAACCCGGGGGCCCCACAATTTTTGGGCCCGGGGCCCCCCAAAGGGGGGGCCAAAATTTTCAAACCCCTTTTTGCCAGAAAAAAAAAAAAATAGATGCCTACAAACGAAAACCCTCCGGAAAAACCGTAAAGAAAAAAAAAAAAATATTTTTCTACTTCTCTCTCAAAAATTCTTCTTCTCCTATTGACAAAACCTTCCCAAAAAAAAAAGGGGAAATTCCCTAGTAGATATGCGTTTTTCTGTGTCCCCCTTTTTTCAAAAACCCAAGTTAATTTTGTTCTTTATCCCTTAAAAAACAAAACCCCTAAAAACAACAATTAACATTTGTTAAAATTTTTTAACAATTTTCTGTTATCTCATAAAAACAATTTTGAAATTTTTTTTTTTTTTCCCTTTTTTTGTTTTTTTTTTTTCTCTAAATTAAATTTTATAAAGGGGTTGGGAAATTTGGCCAAAATTTTTCACCCGGGTTTAATATAATGTAATAATCGAAACATTGAGAGTTTCTATGTTAAATGCACATGTTTAGTATTAGTGTATTGAAGACCTCGCTTTGCTTTACTTCCTAAAGTGTTTCCATTCTCTTTAAGATTAGGATTGGGGGAAAGGAAGCTGATCCTAGATCTGTGCTTAGGGGAAACTTGACCCTGATGTGTGAAAGTGCTTTTTGTTTCCATGACTGTCCATGTATCTGTAACCTTTTGAAATGTATACATTTTTGTTGAATGTAATGTGATTTGTGGATTTAAATAGTGTTTAAAATGTGTCTCCTAGATCATGCTGAGTCTTCAGCAGAGGGCTCAGAAGAGGACCAGCTATCTGCTACGTCTGGACCAGATCAGCCCCCGCCTGGCTGCAATGGCGACCACAGAGATGGCGTTGCCGGGCGAGGTGTCGGCGACGGACGCGTTGACCATCCAGAGTGTTGGTAACACCATCACCATCCTGCCAACCAAGACCAAACCCAAGAAACTACACTTCCTGGGCTCCGACGGACGCAACTACCCTTACCTCTTCAAAGGTAGCTAACAGACACACACTTAGCACACACACACGATGGACGCAACTAGCTCTACCAGACAGAACAACCTCCAGGCAGACAACCAGTAGGAATATAAAGCCTGAACCTCATTCTCCTCCCTTCTACCTCCATTCCTCCCTCCTCTCTCGTTCCCTCTCTCTGATTTGACCCTAATCTATTCTCTTTCTCTTTCAGGTCTGGAGGACCTCCACCTAGATGAGAGAATCATGCAGTTCCTTTCCATAGTCAACACAATGTTCACCAAGGTACGTACGATCGTTCATTGATTGATCATTTAAAGTACAAGGCCGCTCCAGCCAGAGGCAACAGTATAGAGCATGGGTCCTGTGCGGTTCAGCTGTAAAAAATACACCAAAAATAATAAATCTAGTATAATACTTCATTAAACCTGAAGGCTTGTTCCAGTAATGTTTACATAAAGAAAATAAATAAAAAGCTCTACTTCTTCTAGGAAAGATGGACGGTTTTATCTGGTCATACGACTGCTACTGTTTTCTGCATAGCATAACTCTATGTTCCTCTCTAGGTGAACCAGCAGGAGCGCCCCCACTTCCACGCCCGCCACTACTCCGTCACCCCGCTGGGGACGCGCTCAGGTCTCATCCAGTGGGTGGATGGCGCCACGCCGCTGTTTGGCCTCTACAAGCGTTGGCAGCAGAGAGAGGCCGTGCTGCAGGCCCAGAAGGTAGTGTGTGTGGGTGGAGGTGTGCGTTTGAGTTATGTTTTGTAGGAACATTCTCTGTGAATGTGTAGCGCTCAATAAATACAACATTCAACATTGAAACTATGGCAAAGCCAAACACATTGGTGGGGCCATTGGCCTTGAGGCCTCTCTGTACTCCTCTCTCATCCCTCCCTCTCTCATCCCTCCCTCCTCTCTCCCCCTCTCCTCTCTCCCCCCTCTCCTCTCTCCCCCCCTCTCCTCTCTCCCCCCCTCTCCTCTCTCCCCCCCTCTCTGTACTCCTCTCTCTCCTCCCCCATCCCTCTCTCCCCCCTCTCATCCCTCTCTCCCCCCGTTCTCCCTCTCCCTCCTCCCCCCAGGCCCAGGATTCGTTCCAGCAGCAGCCCCAGCCCCTCCCTCTGGTCCCACGGCCCAGTGAGCTCTACTACAGCAAGATAGGCCCCGCCCTGAAGGGGGTGGGGCTCAGCCTGGACGTTTCGCGGCGCGATTGGCCGCTCAGCGTGATGAGGGAGGTGCTTAAGGAGCTGATGGCGTCCACGCCCCCTAACCTGCTGGCCAAGGAGCTGTGGTGCTCTTGTACCACGCCTAGCGAGTGGTGGAGGGTCACACAGGTGAGCGGGGGTCAGAGGTCATAACAGGGTTTATTGGGGGTCAGTCAAGGGTTAGAGGTCACACAGGTGGTGAGGCTTCTTATCCTTGTATCCTTTCCCTGATAAAAACACAAAAGATGAAAACATGGCGGAACTAAGATTTGATATAGGATTGTTATGACGAGTTTCTCTGGTATCGAGTACTTCAGGATGTAAGAGAATAGTTACACACATAGATGGAGAGTTGGTTCAGGTATTTAATATTACAGTACCGGATTCACATGACAAGCGGTACGGGCGTAGCCTATTGTCATCTGAATGATAGGCATACAAAATCTCTCAGTTTATATAAGTCTTTGCAAGCTAATTCCATCCAACAGTTGCCAACCATTGAGTGTCACTCCCAACAACAATAGTATCACCCTATATGGTATTGTGTTGCACCCTAGTCAGGATATTCCATCACATACTCCTTCTAAGATCAGCACCAGTGGCCCCCAAGCTGTCTTGGCACGCAGACCTTCTGGCACCCACCAGTGACAGAAATAATTACATGGAATGTCCTCATCCTCCCAATCCCCATGCAGCTCATAATATCAAAGACATTAACAAATACTGTATAAAAAGACGTTTATATAAAGGATCCACCCATAGAGTTGGATAGAGGACTCATCTTTGTGTCTGTGTTAATTTCCATAGGAAAAGGTCCTCTATCTTACTCTGTGGATCTACCTGGCTAGGTCTTTCTGACTAGGGCAGATGAAGGAAAGGAAGCCATGTTGGACTAATATGCTTGGAGAAGTCATAAAATGTAAAAAATAAAAATGAAAAAATGAAACATTACTGGTGGCTAATTTAATGGTAAATGAACGGTCCTCTCCTCTTCGGCCTGTGCTCCCTCCTCCTCCTCCTCCTCCTACAGTCTTACGCCAGGTCCACTGCTGTGATGTCTATGGTGGGCTACATCATTGGCCTCGGCGACCGCCACCTTGACAACGTGCTGATTGACATGACAACTGGAGAGGTGGTGCACATCGACTACAACGTCTGCTTTGAGAAAGGTAAATAAATTAAGTTCTATTTTGAGGTTTGAACAAGCAACCCTCCTGGTTTAGACAAGTTGCTCTGTGGATTTCACTGCTGTTTGTCCTACTGGTGTGTGATGTTTCTCTCTATCGCTCTCTATGTGTGTGTTTCTCTGTGTGTGTGGTCTCCAGGGAAGAGCCTGCGTGTACCAGAGAAAGTTCCGTTCCGTATGACCCACAACATAGAGACGGCCCTGGGAGTGACTGGGGTGGAGGGCATCTTCAGACTCTCCTGTGAACAGGTATGCTAGCTAGTGAAACATTCTTCAGACTCTCCTGTGAACAGGTACACTAGCTAGTGAAACATTCTTCAGACTCTCCTGTGAACAGGTATGCTAGCTAGTGAAACATTCTTCAGACTCTCCTGTGAACAGGTATGCTAGCTAGTGAAACATTCTTCAGACTCTCCTGTGAACAGGTACGCTAGCTAGTGAAACATTCTTCAGACTCTCCTGTGAACAGGTACGCTAGCTAGTGAAACATTCTTCAGACTCTCCTGTGAACAGGTACGCTAGCTAGTGAAACATTCTTCAGACTCTCCTGTGAACAGGTACGCTAGCTAGTGAAACATTCTTCAGACTCTCCTGTGAACAGGTACGCTAGCTAGTGAAACATTCTTCAGACTCTCCTGTGAACAGGTACGCTAGCTAGTGAAACATTCTTCAGACTCTCCTGTGAACAGGTACGCTAGCTAGTGAAACATTCTTCAGACTCTCCTGTGAACAGGTACGCTAGCTAGTGAAACATTCTTCAGACTCTCCTGTGAACAGGTACGCTAGCTAGTGAAACATTCTTCAGACTCTCCTGTGAACAGGTACGCTAGCTAGTGAAACATTCTTCAGACTCTCCTGTGAACAGGTACGCTAGCTAGTGAAACATTTAGGTAATGTCTGTGTCCAAGCTGTGATGCAGCTCATTTGGATTTCCCGGCTTTGTCGGCTGTTGATCACCCCAAACTTCACTTACAACTTAGTCTTGTTTACTTATAAACATTCCTAAAATGTTCCTGTCACATTTGAAGACATTCCTGAAACGTTATTATATATTTTTTGAACGTTTCTGAAACATGCAAACCATATTCTAATCTTCTCTTTTCTGATTCGTCAGGTGGTCCAGATGATGCTAACCTCTCTCCTCTTTGATTGGTCAGGTGGTTCAGATGATGCGTCGTGGGCGGGAGACGCTGCTGACCCTGCTGGAGGCGTTTGTTTACGACCCTCTGGTGGACTGGACGGCCGGGGGGGAGGTGGGCTTCGCCGGGGCCGTGTACGGAGGGGGGGGGCAGCAAGCAGAGAACAAGCAGAGCAAGAGAGAGATGGAGAGAGACATCACACGTTCCCTCTTCTCCTCCCGCGTCGCTGAGATCAAGGTCAGCAGGGAGACACAGACACATGTAGTCACATACATCTCTATCTCTGCATCTGAAATGGCACCCTGTTCCTTATAGAAGTAGTGCACTGTATGTAGTGAGAGTGCCAATTCAGACGATCTGTTCCCCTTACCAGATGTTCTGTGTGTAGCTGAAATAACAAGGCAACTGAAATCTTCCTCCCTTCACTACCTCTCTCTCTCCTCCTTTCCTTCCTCTCTCTCCCCTCCCTCCTTTCCTTCCTCCCTCCCTCCCCTCCTTTCCGTCCTCCCCTCCCCTCCTTTCCTTCCTCCCTCTCCCCCTCACTCCCCTCCTTTCCTTCCTCCCTCTCCCCCTCCCTCCAGGTGAACTGGTTTAAGAACCGTGAGGAGATGTTGGGCGTCCTGCCCCAGGTGGAGGGGGCGGTGGAAGAGTACATCACCCTGCAGAAGCTGCTCTCTCAGGGGGAGAAGATGACCACCAAGATCCTGGAGGAGATGAGCTTCCTGGAGGGGGCAGAGAGCTGCTCAGACCACCTCATACTTACCCTGGAACACAGGTTGGTTACACCTCTAACCCCAGACCACCTCATACTCACCCTGGAACACAGTTATGTAACCCCTGACCTCTAACCCCAGACCACCTCATACTCACCCTGGAACACAGTTATGTAACCCCTGACCTCTAACCCCAGACCACCTCATACTCACCCTGGAACACAGTTATGTAACCCCTGACCTCTAACCCCAGACCACCTCATACTCACCCTGGAACACAGTTATGTAACCCCTGACCTCTAACCACAGACCACCTCATACTCACCCTGGAACACAGTTATGTAACCCCTGACCTCTAACCCCAGACCACCTCATACTCACCCTGGAACACAGTTATGTAACCCCTGACCTCTAACCCCAGACCACCTCATACTCACCCTGGAACACAGTTATGTAACCCCTGACCTCTAACCCCAGACCACCTCATACTCACCCTGGAACACAGTTATGTAACCCCTGACCTCTAACCCCAGACCACCTCATACTCACCCTGGAACACAGTTATGTAACCCCTGACCTCTAACCCCAGACCACCTCATACTCACCCTGGAACACAGTTATGTAACCCCTGACCTCTAACCACAGACCACCTCATACTCACCCTGGAACACAGTTATGTAACCCCTGACCTCTAACCCCAGACCACCTCATACTCACCCTGGAACACAGTTATGTAACCCCTGACCTCTAACCCCAGACCACCTCATACTCACCCTGGAACACAGTTATGTAACCCCTGACCTCTAACCCCAGACCACCTCATACTCACCCTGGAACACAGTTATGTGACCCCTGACCTCTAACCCCAGACCACCTCATACTCACCCTGGAACACAGTTATGTAACCCCTGACCTCTAACCCCAGACCACCTCATACTCACCCTGGAACACAGTTATGTAACCCCTGACCTATGCCATACAGACAGACGTTTGAGTAACTCCCCGGGCTTGTTTGACATTGCAGCCGACAGTGCAGGCGACTGCCTACTGACTGATCTACAAATTACCTCTAACTAACTACTCAAATAAAATTTTGTCACATTCTTGGTAAACAACCGGTGTAGACAAACTGTGAAATGCTGACTGACAGGTCCTTTTCCAACAGCGCAGAGTTAAAGATAGAAATAGTAACACGAGGAATAAATACACAGTAAATAACGAATAACAATAAAAAGTACAAATAACATGGCTATATACAGGGAGTAGAATATAACATGGCTATATACAGGGAGTAGAATATAACATGGCTATATACAGGGAGTAGAATATAACATGGCTATATACAGGAAGTAGAATATAACATGGCTATATACAGGGAGTAGAATATAACATGGCTATATACAGGGAGTACCAGGTAATAACATGGCTATATACAGGGAGTAGAATATAACATGGCTATATACAGGAAGTAGAATATAACATGGCTATATACAGGGAGTACCAGGTAATAACATGGCTATATACAGGGAGTACCAGTTATGGCTTACATTTACAATTTGCTCAAGGGCACATTGACAGATTTTTCACCTATTCGGTTTGGGGATTCGAACCAGCGACCTTTCGGTTACTGACCCAACGCTCTGAACCGCTAGGCTACCTGCCGCCCTGCTTGGGGGTAGAAGCTGTTCGGGGTCCTGTCGGTTCCAGACTTGGTGCGCTGGTACCGCTTGCCATGCGGTAGCAGAGAGAACAGTCTATGGCTTGGGTGGCTGGAGTCTTTGACAATTGTTTGGGCCTTCCTCTGACACCGCCTGGTATATAGGTCCTGGATGGCAGAGAGCTTGGCCCCAGTGTTGTACTGGGCCGTACGCACTACCCTCTGTAGCGCCTTATAGTCGTGTGCCTTGCAGTTGCCATACCTAGCCGTGATGCAGCCAGTCAAGATGCTCTCAATGGTGCAGCTGTATAACTTTTTGAGGATCTGAGGGCCCATGCCAAATCTTTTCAGCCTCCTGAAGGGTAAGAGGCGCTGTCGTGCCCTCTTCACAACTGTGTGGGTATGTATGGACCATGTTAATTTTTTGTGATGTGGACACCGATGAACTTGAAGCTCTCGACCCGCTCCACTAAAGCCCCATCAATGTGGATGGGGGTGTGCTAGCCCCCCCGTTTCCTGTGGTCCACGATCAGCTCCTTTGTCTTGCTGACGTTGTAGGAGAGGTTGTTGTCCCGGCACCACACTGCCGGGTCTCTGACCACCTCCCTATAGGCTGTCTCACCGTCGTGTCGTCAGCGAACAGGATCCAGTTGCAGAGGGAGGTGTTCAGTCCCAGGATCCTTATTATTTGTAGATCAGGAAGTCGGTCACAATGCAACACGGATTTGATGCTCTTGAACACGGCCCCTCTCTCTCCCCCTCCCCCCCCCACAGGTACTCTGAGCACACCCAGCTAGCATCTCGTCAGCGTACGGTCCAGGAGTTGATCCAGGGGAAGCAGGGGGACCTGGACCAGTGGATGTCCCAGTACCAAGCAGCCTTCAGCAGCCTGGAGGCCACACAGCTAGCCAGTCTGCTGCAGGACATCAGCAGTCCTATAGACCTGGGTTAGTGTCTGTAGAGGAGGGAGAGGGTGTTCTGTGTGTGGTCACAGCTAGCCAGTCTGCTGCAGACATCAGTTTTTTCGAAAGGGGGGAAATTTGGTTTCGGGGAAACCTTAACCCCTGGGAAAATGCGGGGGTTGGGGGGGGGGGTGTTCGGGCCCATGGGGTTAGTTGGTCGAAGGGGGGGAAGGGTTTCCGGGTTTTGGGGGGGGGAAACCCGGGTTTATGTCTGGGGGGGGGGGGTTTCTTTGAAAAGGGGCCTTTTGACCCTGGGTTTGGGGCCCTGGGGAAAGGGGGGGGTTGCCCGTTTGCTGGCGCAAAACCCTTTTTAGGGTTTTAAAGGGGGGGGGGTGGTTCCGGGGGTTTCCTTAAAACGGGGGATGCAGGGGGGGAAGGGGGTTTCCCCTTGCCGAAAACCCTTTTAGGTCTGAGGGAAATGCCCAAAAACCGGGGGTTGGGCCCCCTGAAGGGGGAAGAGGGTGTCGGGGTTCTTAAAAGGGGGTTGGGTGGGGGGGAATGTTTTTCCCTTGGAGGGACAAAAGGGAAAGGGGGGAAGGGTTTCCGGGCCCGGTCCATAAAAGCCCCAAAAAGGAGGGGGGGGGGTTTTCCCGGGTGGCCCCAATAACCTTTTTGTCTGGGGGTTTGGGAAAGAGGGTTTTTCCCTGGCACCCAAGCCGGGTCTTCTGAACCTTTTTTCCCAAAATAGCCGGGGTTCTTCAAGGGGGGGGTTTTCTGGCACCCTACCACCTGGTTGTGGTTTTGTGAGGTGGGAGCTTTTGCGGGGCCACGCCATGAGGGTTAGGGCCCGGTTAAGGGGTTGGGGGGAGGTGGTCAGTCCCAAGGGCCTTTATTTTGTAGATTGGAATTTTCGGGTAAAATCCAACCGGTTATGCCTTAAAGGGGGGGGTTCTTCCCCCCCTTCTTTTCCCTTTAAAGGTTGGGGAACCCGTGCCTATGCCGGGTAGGCCCGGGAGGGGGGAAGGGGGGGGGGGGGTGCCGGGGTGTCCAATAAAAAAGGGGTTAGGGGCCTGGGGGAAGGGTTAGGGGGTTTTCGGGGTGGCCCCTATAAAACCGGGGTTTTAGTGTCTTAGGGGGGGAAAGAGGGTGTTCGGGGGGCCCCCTAAAAGACCGGGGTTTTAGGGGCTGTAGGGGTTTGGAAAAGGGTTTTCTGGTCCCTATGCCCGGGGGTTTTAGGTTGTAGAGGTGGGAAAAGGGGGGTTTTTGTGCAGTCCTATAGCCCGGGGGTTTATTTTCTGAAAGAGGGGGGAGGGGGGTTCTGGGGTCCTATAGACCGGGGTTTAGGGGGCCTGTAGAGGTGGGAGAGGGGGGTTTCGGGGCCCCCAATAGCCCCGGGGTTTTAGTTTGTAGAGGGGGGGAGAGGGTTTTTTCTGTGCCTATAACCGGGGTTTAAGGGGTTTGTAGAGGTGGGAGGGGGTTCTGGTCCTATGACCGGGGTTTTAGTGTTGTAGAGGGGGGAGGGGGTTTTTTGTGCAGTCCTATAAAACCTGGGTTAGTGTTGTAGAGGGGGGAGAGGGGTTCTTGGCCCTATCCCCCGGGGTTGGGTCTGAGAGGGGGGGGGAGGGTGTTTCTTTGGGATCCTAAAAGCCCCGGGGTTGGTCTGTAGAGGTGGGGAGGGGGGTTTTGTGCATTTCCTTGACCTGGGTTAGTGTCTGAAAGAGGTGGGAGAGGGTTTTCCCTGGGGTCCTATAGACCTGGGTTAGTGCTGTAGAGGGGGAGGGGGTTTTTGGTTCGGGTTTGCAGTTAAAAGCCCTGGGTTAGTGTCGAAAGAGGGGGGAGGGTGTTTGGGTTCCTATAGAGGGGGTTAGTGCTGTAGAGGTGGGAGGGGGTTTTTTTTCTGGGTCCTTAACCGGGGTTAGGGGTTTGTAGAGGTGGGAGAGGGGGGTTCGT